AGACTCTGTCATTGTATCTGACAGAATATATATATTGAATATAGGCCATTGAAACTACTGCCCTGGGGAAGAATAATTAGTATTTTTAGATCAATACAAATGGTAGATTTACTAAAAGACCTTTTATATATTGTCATCCAGAGTTTTGCATTTCATTACATAGGGTGCCTGGTAATAGAAAAGAGAGCTGCATTGCTTGGCTTATATGAGTTCTTATGATGTCCTTGCATGTTTTTGGAGAATGTTCTCCTGTCCTTTAACTTTGGTGATATCGCATTAAATATTTCTGGATTGTGAACATGCCAAAGCAAGGACTAGCTATAATCTTCCCCTGTAATCTTCAGATTTGGACAGTGGGGAGCTCTTCTTTGGAAGGTAAATGTCTAACAGGATTTTTAGTGTTCAAGCTGCTTTTGATTAAAATAGCATGTTTCTCTACGGAATGCTGGAACTGAGATACAGTAACTGTTTTAAAAAAAAAAAAAAGTCTGCCCTCAGTAAACATAATGGATGATTTCTCTTCAAAGGAGCTCTTATCATCTCTTCCCATTTCCCAGAGGCTGCCACAAAGCTGCCTCTTTTATTCCTCCTGCTGCTGCCGCTGCTCATCCTTCTCTCCTGCCTGCTCTCTGGAGGGCATCCTCAATCTAATACAACTGTGTCAGGAAGTATGGGGATGCAAAGTGCTGAGGAGCCAAAAGTAGCCCACCTCTGCAGTGTGCTGCTTCGTCCCAACACACACCAGCCTGATTAGGGAGGCACACCATGAACCTGTGCTCACATTCCTGTGTAACCTTACGGCATATGAATTCAATTCAATGTAACTATCTAACAAAAGCAGAATACCTGAATTATAATAAAAAGACTTATTATTGCGTCTACTAAAGTTAAATTCCTCTTATTCTTACTTCTATGCAAATCCTATTGTTCAATGAAATGTTTGTATTGTGTGAAAGCCAAAGATGGCTCTTTAAATTTAAATTGAAGTGCAAAATTGTCGGTAGTGATTGAGTATGTTTTCTAGTGGTTGTTATGACATCACTGTTATCCTGGAGATTTTTTTTCTTTCTGTTTTGTTGCATAGTATCAAATACACTCTGCTTACCTCGCTACTCACTGAAATGTGCTGAGTAAAACAAACAAGGATCCCCCCCCCACCGCTTCGATGACCACACACACACACACACACACACACACACACACACACACACACACACAGTATGATTTGCCTATATACTGCCTTGTGAATATAAATACCAAGTCTGAGCCTTAAAATAATGAAAATGTTCAAGTTATCATGGATGTTTTTTGGCTACACTATCATAGCTTGCAGCTTCCTTCAGCTAGTTCAAATTTTATAATTCGACGGAACTTTCCACATTTGGGCCTGCAGATGAATTTTGTGTGACAGCTGATCATTGGCACTGGTCTGAAGGTTCTTATTTCTTATCTGGCAATAAATGAGCTGAAATCCCCTCTTGCAACAGTATGCAACCTGCTGAACTGCATAAATATTATGTCTCCCTAGGAACACAATAGTCGTATTTATTCCTTTATTTTGGGACTGTTTTTTTCCATGTCAAATGCCGAGAGGGAGGTCTCTAGCTCTCTCAGGAGCAGATTGCAACATGTTTCAAGGCTCTGGTGAATAGATTAAAGGCTGGCAAGCTCAATCTCTCATTGAGCCACACTCTCTTACTCACACATGCGCAGACACAAAACCTGCAAACACTCTAAAACCTATACCCTTAAAGCATGTATGGCTCAGAGGGCTGTGCCACTGGACTGACAGATGGTACCATGAGGCTTGGTGTTGCGCCGTTGTGATGGCTCACCCGGAGCCCCATCCACACTGCTCAGCATCACTGCAGTGCTCAGCTTGACACACAAGCCAACAGCCTTCCAGCTCACATGAACAGATAGGCTCTGTTGACATGGCCAAGGTCAGGTTCCTCACTGACACAGTCAAAGATCATCAACAAACGTGAACCGGAATATGTTCAAAACTGAACTTATCGTTCTTAATTTCCTCAGGAAAATCATTTTTTGGAAAATTGTCTCCAAGCTTGGATCAGCGGCTCTGCACTGTGCCGTATTGGGTTCTTTTTCGGTTTACTATATCTGTGAGAACTTTTAATTTGATTTTCCAGCTTGTACTAATCCATTTTTGAAAAAAAATTAAATCCTGGTGTACACACTGTGCTAAACTATAACCTTGGGCCTGACAGTGGCTGAACGTTTTCTCAACACAGAAAATCAACGGCGCAGTTGCGCGTGCCTCTCTTAGATGATCAGTATATAATATATAGGTTTAAGCCGCTCATGCAGAAGGAAACTCTTTCAAAGTGATTCAGAGCATCTGAGCTCATTAAATGTTAATCAAAAAATCTATTTTGAGATCACTAGGAGATCAGTCATGAGGATTTCAGGTCAGCTGTGAGGCCACTGCATCCGAGTACTGAGAGTTGAGTGAGCAGGATGGTCCTTTTTTTGCTGTGAAGTGTTTGCGCTTGACGTTGGGGTTTGTCCCAATTGAAGCCAGTATCGTGACACATATGAGTGACTGAAGCATGAGAAAATCTCAACTGCAAAGTCTTGAGACACTTCATCCTTGAAGTTTGAACTGAACACTACTCCTGGCTATTTTTTTTTTTTTAAATGGCACAGAAACAGAAATGAGGCAACCCTCTCTCACAGTGGCTTTTTGCAACACATGCACTGTCCTTTCCATTATTCATGATGTGTTTTCACTGACAGTGCCTTGAACCATGAGGAGTACTCCTGTCTGTCTTTTCCAGAAAGAGCCCTGTGGAATGAGAGAACGTGTACCTGAGGTGCACACACTAAAAAAAAGCCTGTTCTCATCTGGTTTTGGAAAAAAATAACATGTCGTAGATTATGCGGCTCTCATTGAAGATGGAAAAAGTTCATATGGCTGATTAACTCATGGAGCATTTCCAGTGTAAAATTATATGCAACTCCAGAGTTCCCTGTATTAAGCAGGAATCAAGCAGCCAGACTGCCATTAAGATAAGAGGTTTTTTTTCTTCTCTAGACTCTAAGAAACTGTCTGCTGAGGTTACTTTATCTAGCAAAGCATGTTTAAATTATTGCCTCTCTTTTTGTTTGGTATTGGGCTGCATTTTATTTTGTTTCATTACTTTTTTAATTATTATCTTAATTACTATTATTATTTAATTATTATTATTATTATTTATTATTATTTGTTTTGGTTTTAGATGCAAACCAATAAAACGTACATTACGTTTCACTTACCAGCCTACTTTGTTTACTTATTTGTCCCTGTCGAGAACATTTTTTAAATACTACTCTCTTTTTCTACTATTGAAACAATCCTCAATGCAGATTTCAAGATAATGTGGCAAATGTTGCACATGCAAGCCCTGTTGGAGCTGTTGGATGAGCTTAGATTAAGAAAAAAAACAGATTTTTATAAGCACCTTGAAAGTGCAAACTCTCAACATACATTATTTTGCACAATAGGAGGCAAACATCCAAGAGAATGAAAACTGAACGTAGCATTTTTTCTTTTTTTTTAAATTTTTTTTGAGTGGATTCATACTCATCATAAAATGGAGCAAAAGTAAGGGTCTGCTGCTTGCATGTTGAATTTTTCTCCTGGATATCTTTGTTTCGCAGTTGTGGTTTAAAAAATATGGTTTGTGTTAGCGAGATAAAGTTAAATGCAAAGTCAGTGTGATTAAACAAAACAATGTCCCTCTGCTTTTAAGTGCATCAGCATTATTGTCATCATCCAGTTACTGTGTCGAAGCACGCATGGACATGTATTAGCATTTACAGGCTTGGTGAGTCAGAGATATTTGTACCTTGATTAACATGAACTGTTGTTAAGAGCATTAGTAGAAATAATATGACATGAACAGAGTAGAAATGTAGTGAACTGCAGGATTCGCTCCAAAGCCTCAAGCTATGAATCATCTTAATGCCAGCTAGTGGAAATGAGTCAAATTTGTTCCACAGTGAAATATGCAACACACTGATACTCCTCCTATGATCAGGCTGGTGTACAATTAAAACCATTTTGTTTCCATGCAGGAGTCGCATTAAAATATGGTCAGATAATCAGCCATTTGTATGAATGCATTTACACAACAGATCGCTTCTTAATAGACAGCCTTTCTCACTGTTGTTAAAGACTCATATTGGAGATTGTATTGTTTTGTTGACATGATGATATCTTCTCCTAAAAATATGACTCATTTTTGGAATAGTAAAATTCACAGTTAGGATGTTAAGAGTGTTGCTGTGTGCTTAGTTAGTTCCACCTCTGTTCTTATTACCTTAAATGAAGACATGGGTAGAGGACAAAAGGAAATCAGATATCTGCACCAGCATGTTAAGCAGAATCTCAGCCACAAAGGAGAAACTCTGTATATCTAACGAAGCACAATGGATGAAAATATAATGTATGCAAATGAGGGAAACAGACAAAGAGCTTATTCTTCTCTCTGCAGTCTGTCGACTATATCAGATTCCTAACTATCTTCTCATCCCATTCAATGCGCTCAGGCTACATTATATCAAAACATTTTTCCAGTTCCTTCTTGCTGTATTGGAAGAGTTTAAATAAAACTGTGTATTCAAATTTTGCCCAATCTGAACGTGCATGGTCTTACCCTAATTTGTGATTGATGCCAGAATGAACCGTTTGAGAAATCACTGCTTTTTTTAACTTTAAGATTAGCATTTGTTAATTAATATGTGTGAAATTAGTCTTGAATACATGGTGTCACTTCACGTCTGTGTAGTGTATTCATTTTCAGAACTGCTTTACATTCTCTCACATGACATATTTTCCATTAAGTACAATAATTTAACTCTGGGTTTATCTGAACTGCATACCTGCTGGGGTTATTTTTGAGGGGAGGGGGTTGCTTACCTGGTGATAAAAAGGTAAATGTTAAAAGCCTTTGATATTTTTTTTTCTGGGTTTAACTTCTATATGTTGTTTTTTGCAGATCCATGGATCTTTGCGAAGGAAGATTGAGGGGCATGCCCCAGGACAAATATCAAAGCAAAATGGCCTCTCCTGTGGTTTCCCTGGATCAGACTTTAAGCGGGTCCGTGTGGACCACAACTTAGCCCAGTCCCATTCTCTGCAAGGCACCTCAGCCATGAGCATGCAGAGGAAGAATTACATGATGCCTCATGCACTGGGGTCAGACATATTCAACATGACCCTGAAAGAAATGAAGAAAGAGCCCTCTGAGATCCAGTCTTGTGACCAGTCAAATGCAGAGATGATGTTTGACTTCAAAGATGAAGGTCAGATTGATCCAGAACTCCAGGATCTCTTTGATGAACTGACAAAGACGGTGCCTACACTGAATGACCTGGAGTTTGAAAAGATGCTAAAGCAGGATGATACATTTGGCTTGGATCTAGGACGGCCAAGCTCGGCGGGAGCAGCTGCCAGTCTGTGCTCTCCACTGGAGAAGCCGATAAAGACAGAGCACTCACCCGATTTTGGGCAGGCTCATTGTGGCTCACCACAGCTTCGACCCGCTTCTGCAGGGCCCACTTTCACATTGACCAGCACGTCTTCAACCACCACATCGCAAAAAGCAAACACTCAGGCAGGACACCCAAGGATGCCCTGTTGGCCTGAAATATCTCACGCAGAGCAGCTAAAGCAGATGGCAGCAAACCAGCAGCAACCGAATTCTCTTCTCCATCACCACCACCAAACCGCACCTGTGGCCCTGACCAGCTGGGCTCCTTCCATGAGCACCCACTCCTCCACCAGCACCTTCCCTCAAGACAATGTCTCTAGCCCACTCCCACTCAACCAGCAGAGGATTGGCTCTCACAATAAAGGGATCAACAACTGTCTCTTCAAACCAACCAGCCACAATGGCTCCAATCATTTGGACATGAAGGTTCTCAGCACCAAGCCTACATTGCATTTCAGCCCCAAAGTACCCCATTCTGCCAGCCAGCCCATGTCTATCATGACAAACCCAGTGAACAAGACAGAACAGCAGCAACAGTCACCTTCACCGGGCCCACATCAGCCACATTCAGGTCTCCATTTCCAGAACCAACAAAACCCCACATCAGGAGCCCTTTGTCTGCAAACCAAGACTGCTCACGGAGGGCTGCCTTTCAGACCGTCACAGCAGCGGCAGGTAAGGTCTCTGTCCAAAATTCCTTTACACACGATTGCCCTTATGTGAAAACACTATTTTAACTTTTCAGCTCTACAGCAGGACGGCTTCCACAATTAAGAGATTTGATATAACATGTGCCCATAGCAGCATATCAAGCATAGCTAGTGCCATAAAAAACTGAGACCAGTATGGCTACTTAACATTCTGTTTGATCCACAGAATATTTCATTTTTCTATTTTACTGCACTTTATGAACAAAGTCAATAACAGCACCAACTGCCTTTTTTTCTGTAGAAAGTCTAGTAACATAATCCAAAGCACAATCAAACGTACTGATTTAGTTGTCCTGCTGGCATCTTCAGTTTGCTTGCAGCAGCCAACCTGCTGTCTAAAACAGCTACAATGCAGCTCTGTTTATTCTGCGACTTTATTGTTCTTGCTAATGTCTGTGTGTGTGCGTTTGACGATGACACAGATTGCCAGAGCATGGTAGATTATCATGCAGGACTTCTAATTTCTCTGCTTGTCATGGTGGCTCCCTGTCAGGGCACAGATATGCACAGCGGGATTTGCTAATTGGAGGTTGTTAGCTACAAGGGACAAGTGGTGGAAAATGACAGTAATCTGCTTAGCCTAGTGCCGGAGGTTGAATCACTGATTTGTTATGATTGGAGAGATTTAGACCCTCCCCTCTTTCATTTTTTGCACCAACAATATCTGTAGCTGCCTTTGTGTGAAACGATAATGCGAGCCCCGCAACAGAGCTCTCGTAACCTCTACAGATCAAGGGAAGTGCTTGGGTGACTGGGAGAGGGTGGGAAGAAGGAGAGAGGGAGGGAGTTATGCAGACATGGAAGTAAACCAGGTAGGATCATGACAGTTACATCAACACATCAAAACGGGACCAGTTTTACCACTGCTAGAGCTATTTACACTTTAAACAGTGGCTGTTCATGGTTACCTTGAAACTACTTGACAAATATTCCTGATATCAGAAGCCTTACATAAATGTTTGAGGCAGAAATACACGGGCTTAAAGATTGGTAGATGATTTAAATAGACAAAGAAAAAAAGCATTTTCTGGGCTCAGATTGACCCCATTTCACAATATTTCAAATCTTTTTTCATAAACACAATGGATCATTTCAAGCAAATGTACTGGCTGCCGTAATAGTGACAGTAGTATTAGTGTTGCATTAGAGATAATAAGCATTTTTATAAAATATGTAAGATGTGGTATCTAATTTAAAAAGGATTGCAGTGAGAGAAAAGGGGAAGACACTTAACAGAGCTGGATATCAAATAATGAAAAAGACTTGTGAATTTGTTGTTGAATTATTAAACATTATTTCAGAGCTCCTTAAAGTAAAACCTCTTTTTAAAAGTTTGTGAGGGGTTAAGGGCTTGGTGAGACAGCTTTCCCAAAGAGATTCTTTTTTTTAATGTGACCAAATAACCAGCACGTAGCTATGAATATGATAGGGTTAGAATTGAGGATTAAAAAAAGACCTTTATAATTTATGGACACTATTTATCATTTCAAGCTGAGCTAAAAAGTGCTGATAATGGTGTTTGTAAATTTTAGCCAGCATGTACAGGGTTAAAAGTCCAGCTAATGAGAGAGGGACAGCTTATAGAGAGGAGAAAAAGAGTGGAGTCTCTTCCCACAGTGAACTGAATTAGTAATGCCAGAGAAATAAAGGTCCTGAAAGAGTGCCCTGATCCCCTGTGTAACACAAGTAACTAGCAGTGGGCTTCCTTCCACTGCCTGAAGCTGGAGACCGTTATTAAAGCATGCACGTCCAAACATGTTTGAAGCTTCTTACTAATAATCAGTTTCTGAATCAAACCTGACGAAATTCAAATCCACCACTGTGTAAACCTCTGAGGTTGCACAATATTCGCTTCACCCACTTAAAGTACTCATACGAGTACATTCTGGAGCAGCATGCACTAGAGGACACTAATGCATTATGAAACCTGAGTTACTGTGGTTGGTGGCAATGCTGTCTCAAGGACAAAATTTTGTGTTGCTAGTTTCACCAGTTGTGTAGCTGTCTTGTGTGTTTTGGCTAAAGAAAAAATACTTTGGGGTGTAATATGAGTGCTAATAAAGAATGAGGCAATCCCGGTGTTTATTATTTTTAATTTCTGAAATATTGCAGCAGTGGAAAAAGTACTGCTTCAATAAAAAGAAAAAAGCTCTGTATGGAGTTTTCGCTTCCAGAAAGACCTTTCAGGGAAACAAAGAAAAATGGTTTTCTAGCACAAACTATGTTAGTGAAAGTTAAGCTTTTTAGTTCCTTAATGACTCAAGTCAAATAGTTACTGAATATTTTTCCATATTAAATATCTTTATAGCAATATAATGACCTATGTTTACATTTTTTTTTAATTTCAAATTCAGTTGTGTACACATGCATTACAAATATTTGTCAGACAGTCTTATCCAAAGCGACATCTGTATTTTCTCTGCATCAGATCAAATGAAGACATTTGACAGCGATTTCATCATCCCATACCAATTCCTATTTTAATACGACACACAAACTTTCTGGAGAATACTGTCCTTATTGAAATGCATGAACCCAGTCGCCAAAGTAGCCGAATGCTCACAGTGCATGCCACATAATCTGGCTGCAGACCTGAGCTGGATGTCATAACCCGTCTAACACATTTCCTTTCTGTTTTATCACTACTACTACACAACTGTCTAGTAACGGCAAACATGGAGTAGAACTCAAAACTAAGGCAACATCTAAAAATAAAGGTTTACTCAAAGTAAATAAGGACTCCTCAACTTTTGTTGTCGATCTTGTGGCACCAGATCCTTCAGTTAGGATAAGAGCGGGGCCGTAGGGGTTGAGCCTACCAGGTCAGTCCAGCAGTGCTGTGAAGGGAGTACTTGTTTCCTGGGAAAGGGAGCTGCGGCCAAGTCCAGATGCCGAGGCGCTCCCCAGGGACAGCATCCTGAGACCAGACTGGAGGAAGTGCAGTGTGAGAGCCGGCGAGGCTGGGCCTGGATCACTGTCAGCTGCCTGCGCTGCCGCAGGATGGGAGACTAAATCACTCCGCTCCTTCTCTCAAGCCCGAGCCACATGTGGTATTCATTTACAAAAAACTTGTGAAGAATGGAAGGGGGGAAAACATGGAAAACAGCTTTATGACACATCAGGATGACAGAGGATTACTCAGTTGTACACGCTAAAACACCCCTCATTGGGTCTTTTCTTACAACAAAGATGGATCAAGCTCTCTTCAGTTTACCTCTGTGGGGAACAAGTCTTTGAAGGTCACGTTTTCTTATAGACTCAGTAAATGGATAAAGTAAATCAAAACCAGTGACTCTGCTTTCTACTGTAAGAGGAGAAACCACTGTTTTGATGTTTCAGTCCCTGTGTAACCTCATTGCCATGCTTGGTTTGCTGTGTGGGTTGAACTCGGGCAGAGAAGGCGAATATTAGCTTACGTGAAGTGGCTTGTGACTCCTGATGAGTTTCGGCTTCCCTTAGTCTCTAATCCTGTCTCGTTACTTCTCCAAATTTCAGTCCATTCATTATCATTCACTAAGACTAGTAGACACACACGCACACACATATTCTTCCTTTTTTTCTTCAGAAAATCAGAAAGCTACTACCCTGTAGATATTCATTCTCTGCAAAGACTCTGTCCTTAAGTAGTAGTAGATTTCTAATCCATTTTACCCTGGGAAACATTTTAAGTCAACACAATGACTGACACTGTATACACAGTATGTGTTGACTTGGATTTGGTGCACATTAACCTCCTTCATGACAAATGTTCGCACTTGATGCAAGCTTGTGTGTTGTGAGGGTGTCCACATGAAAGGCTAGTTTTATTTGGAGCGCTTGGATGGTCGTCACAGCTGTCTAAAAAAGCTAAAGAAAATATGAAATGGAAGGACTGTAACATCTTAAGCACCATGGTATTCACATGGTGAAAGATTATCTGCAACAACAACAAAAAAAGCATACACTGAGCACAAAACTTTAAACAAAAAGCTAGTTTGGATCTCTCAATTCCTGCGCCGCAGACTACAACATTTTAATCAGTGATAGTGTCAGGAGCCAAATGGGTTTCTAGAGGATGGAATGCCTCCTTGCCAAAAACAACACAGTGATCAGTAAGGGAGAGCTTATTAAATGGAGGTAGTCATGGTGCTGGCGCTTAACTTCCCATCGGCACACATTTCCTGCTGTCTCAGGGATTCTTTCCACTCTCTTTAGACACAATTATCAGGGGAGAGGCAGGCCTTGAGGATGACTTGAACCCCCCTGCACCTCCCCCAACAAAAAAAAAAGAACAGAAAAAAAAAGCCCCCTCCATTTTTCCCTTTTTCATCTGCAGAGGGAGTAGCCTTGACCACATTCTGGAGGTTGAATAGCATCTTTGAAACAGATATATGATGTCTTGTAGAGTTTTGCCCCCTACTGGCATGCCTGTGTTGTTGCAATGTTTTGATTTTGTGCTTTCACTGAGAGTAATGTAAGACCATCCTATTGTCTCTTTTTTAAAGGGTCTTCCTGCTGGTCCAAGGCTGCCCACTAATGGAAGCTTGGGAGTCATGTCAGCCCAGCCACAACCACGACCCCCGGTCCCAAACAACCAGCAGAAAGGGCCTCCAAAAACACAGGCCATGCAAAGACAGCTCAACCAACCCCAACACACCATCGGCAATTCAGTAAGCTGCATTTACATCATACCGTTTTCACTGATTAATTAAGACTGTTTTGATCAATCATATGAATATACTGTTTTTACTTTCAAGGACAAAGACAACACACATGATCAGTTTAGTCGTCACCTGACAAGACCACCGCCAGATTACAAGCAGTCAAGAAGTATAGCTGGAGTTCAGCAGGGAAACATCTTCCCAGGTACTTTAAATTTCTAGTGATTAAGGAATGCTTTACATGCTAACAAACAATCTTAATAAAAAAAACTTTTTTTTCTTTGTTTGATGTTTCTGCAGGTCGAAACTCCTCCCAGTGTCCTAACAGTGGCCCTGAGAAGACCCTACAGTCTTGTCACCTTGCAGTTGGTTCTGCTTCAAAGATGAGTGCTTCACCATCAGACCGTAGATTTTCTATTGGGACAGATTGTCACCCCAGTTCTTGTGTCAGCCAATGCCAGCAGCAAAACAGTCACAGTCAAATTCGACTGAATCCGAGTAAACCCAGGTTCCAGGGCCCAAACACACAAGGAAAGTCTTTTGGGATAAACAGTGTGGCAGGTGTACAGCACCAGAGATTGACATCTCACTTGCGTTCCTCTGTGCCAGGACAGGGTGTAGGAGGGTTGGTGACAAATGTCAACATGGGCTGGGGTTCAGCCAACAAGCAAGTGACACCTGGACTCTGTATTAGGCAGCTACCCAACCCACTACAGTCCCAGGGTGTGCAGGACTTACCGAACCATCCATTCCAACAGAGACACATTGCCCCTCCCAACCAGGTAGCACCAGACATCAGCATGCACACTCTAAACCCTCCACTAAGAGACATAGGCCAGAGAGTAAGTCAGGCAATGATGGGTTCTCCCTCAGCCGTGGGAAACCTTAACCAGGCCTCACCTGAACCGAGGATACCAGCAGGGAACTTTACAGAGCCCAGTCCCAGCTCTAGCAGCTACCATAATAACAGAACTAACCGTCTGACCTTTGACTTCCTCCCAGAGGGGGACAACACAGTTCCGGGAATCAATGCAGACTCAGACTTCATAGATTCCCTGCTCAAATCGGGCTCTGGAAATGATGACTGGATGAAAGATATCAATTTGGATGAGATTCTTGGTAGCCACTCGTGAATTTGGGTCACAAATGACTAAAAATGGACCCACAGCTCAGAGCTTGTAGAGGTATGTAAGGTGTAAAGGATTACATTTGTAAGTAATATTAAAATGGACTTTTATAGACTTATTATTACCCAGATATACTGAATTGCTTTGTATTGTATTTACTGTGAAAATCAATTGTGTTCTATGTACTCTGCGTATTTCTTCCTGGTGTATTGGCCAAGAAATTGCTTTTCTATGCAGTCACTGTTTTTGTGGTCTGTGCTCTGTGCTGTCTTATAGAGTAAAGTACAAAATTCACACTGTGAAAAGAAAATATTGCCATTATTTTCCTTTTCATCCTGGTTTGTGTTTCAAAGTCTAGCATCACGTGGTATGAGCTTTCCAGTGTTTTGCTGCCAGACACAAGCAAGCTTGCAAAAGCGTTTTTTCCGCTTTACTTCCTTCTTGTTCAAACTGTTTCATCTGTGGTAGTTACAGTTTAAATTATGTAACCATTATTTTTTTTCATGTTATATTTAATAATTATTGGAATAGTAAGTAGACATTATATTACATGTAATTAATAAAATTTATTTGACTCAAGTTGTGCTTTTGTTGACTTTATTTAATAATGAATAGTTTGGTTTACTACATCTCATACTTCCAAATCAGCGCATGTAGATACTCTTAATTAAAGGATGCTTTGATGTTATGTCCCACTTTACAGGGTTAGTGTGTTGAAATGACACACTTTAACCCAAATGGCAACCTTTTCATAAAAATAAACAAGTAGTGTTCAGTGCTTAAACTTAACAAAATACTTTTTAGTGCCTTAAAATATTTAAGGCACCAATGAAGCTTTTTGTTTGTTTGTAACTACCCCAAATCTGTCCATGCAGCTTTTGGTACCTAAAGCTAACCAGCAAGTAAAAGCAAAAGTGAAAGTTGGATGGAAACAAGTCAGCAGAGTGAATGAATACCAAAGAAACAAAATCAAACACACAAACAAAACCTAAACTGTTTTCTTCAGGCTGACAAAAATGGTATTATGCATATTTATTTTGTCCCCAAAACAGACAAGATATTCTGGAAGTCATATATAAATCAAACGAGGACAGCCTTCTTTCATCTTAAGTATTGTCAAAATTAGGAACATCCTATCTAAGAGTGAAAGAAAAATACTGCATACATACACATAGTCCTTCTACTCTGGACTATTTTTTATTAGGGTGTCTCAGTACAACACTGAGAGAAGTGAGGCGAAAGTGTGCGATACTGAAAAGAAAGCGAGTGATGATTGCTGTATGATTCCCCCCCAAACATCAGCTTCTAAAACAAAATGTTCAGCACTGCCTGAACTGAAACAACCATTATTCTAGATAATTACACCTGCAGACGAGTGTTGCTGAGGGACTGTAATATTGTTATGTAATGATGATTTGCACAAAATGTCATTGAACCCTACAAAGCAGATATTATATTGGTTATGTATTTTAGCTAATAACGCTCATGATTAAAAAATAAAACGAGAAGCCTGGAAATTTGTTTACAGTATGTCTTGTCTGAAGTAAAGGCACAAACAATTATAATGATTAAAAAATGTTTCAAAATGAACAACTTACAGAAAAAGTAAGTCTCACCCCAACCGGTTGCGGCAGATGACCACCCCTTTCTGAGCCTGGTGCTGCCGGAAGTTTCTTCCTGTTAATAGAGAGTTTTTCCTTCTCACTGCCCCCAAGGGGGTCATATGATTTTGGGGGGTTTTTGAGTTTACGCAGATGTTTTGCATTGGAGGTAGTGTAAGGTTCATGCATTAATCTAAACTCTTTGGCCTGATGTAAGACCCAAATTGGATGTATTATGATACGATAATGCACTGGCATGTAACTGTCCTGTTCAGTATCTGGCACAGCCTCTCGGTCAGGTAAGCCAAGTATACTTTACCGATTGCTTTGAAAGACGTGTGACCATCAACAATGAAAAGTTAATTCAAATTCCCTAGGAGGAATTGTTTGTGTTCTTTATATTTTAATGTTTTGGGTCCAATCTATTCTTTGTTTGATTTTTGTTGTTGTTTTTTTTTGCCATTGTCTTGCTATTTTCAGAGTTATCTTTCCAGAGTTTCAGTAGCTAAACTATTAATTTGGTGAAAAAAATACAATAAAATAATAAAAATAAAATTATAAATCTTTGCATAAAATTTCATATATAGACATTTATAAATACAATAAAATATAGAAAACACATGTGTGCAGTACACAGGTTCAACAACATATCAGCATAAGAATAGAATAGAATAGAATAATCCTATAATTGTCCCACAAGGGGAAATTTGGTTACTTAAATAAGAGCATTTATTTAAACCTGGTAACAATGCTAGTGTTTACCCCCCAAATACCCCTGACAGCATAATGCCGCTGGAGGCGGAGCTAAACGTGGGCAGTCAGGGCTCTGACGTGTTTTGAGGTTGATGGTGTTCGTTGTAGTTACCTACTGTGAACACAAGAGGGAATCAACATATCCTTCTGTTCAAGTTACCCTTTCACTTCCAAGGCTTTTAATTTGAGGCTGAAAGTCTCAAAAACCTTTAGGTGGGCGTCGGTTTAACGCGCTGTTTAGTTTGCGTGACGTGACGTGACGTGTGACGCATGTCTTTCCCTCTTCTTCCTCCGCTTTTCTGTCAGTCTTCACTGTCCCTATCGAAAATGAAGCCATAAGATAAAAAGGCCCCCCAAAAAAGTTTCTGGTGAATGCTAAGATAAAATTGCTCGTTTCAGTTAAATTTATTGTTTGTTGCTGAAAATGCTAACCTTTAGTTTTCAGTAATTTCAGTAGTAGTTTGAATCATTTTAATAATAATAATAGGTTTACATAAAATGTAATAATTATTTTAAAGTGTGTATAACTCACTAGTTGGAGTAGTAATGCATTTCTATATATATTTCAGAGTATCCACCTTCGAAGAATTGGTTTGAAATTGGCAACACTATGTATAACTGGATTCAGCAAAATGGGTATGAAGCGTCAAGTAAATTGCATAAAAAAGTTAGTTGGTAGAAAAATGTAAACCAAATTCATTAATCGAAATACACAGTGCATAGTCCGGTGCTAAACTGGTATGAACAATGACTTTTATTTTGACATTCACCGGATGTATCGCTTCTCAACAGTTCCACCACTAGAAGGCTAACAATTAGAGCCTTTAATAATTATTTTGAAACCAAAGATTTTAGAAAAATGTTTGCTGTACAATACAATTAGAATTCATGCTTAAAACAAACGATAAAAAACAAAATATGACACAGGGAAATATTACCACAAAGTATATACTTTATTTTAGGCCAATTTCAAAGTATCATATGAAGAAAGATATATTGTAACAGAATTTGTTCTAAAACACATGCACATTTCTATCAAAAAAAAAAAAAAAAAAAAAAAAAAAAAAAAAGAACAGATCATTACTGAATATAAATTCATTTCATGTGCATTTAGAAAACTCTAAATACAAAATCCTTTAACTTGTGATTAGTTCTACTGCTACAATGAGAGTCAACAGCTAATATGCTCTGACAATTACACACTAAGCATAAAATCAGGTCTGTGTGACAAAATGCATTGATGCATTAAAACGAAAACTAGCCGTGCAATACGAGCACTGTGGTGTACCACTCATTTTAGTTGCATTGTTCTCACCAACACTGTTCATCCATCTTAAAAATCCATCAGCACGTGACTTAATATTCAGTAAAATCAAAACTAAAAAGAGGTTTCTCATGAATAAAAAAAAAAAAAAAATATATATATATTATATATATATATATATTTATAACGTATATATATTTATTTATATTATATATATTTGATAGTATATATATATATATAATATATATATAATATATAGATAATATATATATATAATATATATATATATATATATATGATATTATATATATATATATATATATATTCCATCAAGTTAATGCTACCCATTTAGTATTGGTTGGCAACAGAATCAGTGTGACATCCTGCAAAGCCTAAACCAGGGGCACACGCAGCAGGCTGATTATTCAAAGGTTACTGCAGTAATGCAAATATGTAGTCATTGTGTAAACATCAAAAAATAACGTGATTATGTGAGAATTGTCAGTGTGTTGTCTCAACTGCGGCCGAGTATGTAAACATGTGAGTGCTTGTAGAAGAATCGCTCTTTTCTCCGCTCTGAAACCTCATCCTTAAAAATCTCAAGGTTAGTCACTCGAAACAACCATCCCAAACAGAAGGGGAGGGGAAAAAAACTCTCTCAGCTAGACGTGCCCATTAACACTTAAAACATGTTCTCATTATTAGCTTATACAGTTTGTTCAAACACAGGCTGATTTACAAATCATACCGTTTCTGGTCTCTAAAGATAGAAGCAAAATACAAGTTTTTAGTGTCATTACAAAAACATCTTTGGAATCTGCATCAACAATTCCTGACTGAGATATCTGATTGTTTCTTTATTATGCCACCCCCCCAAAAAACAAAACAAAACAAAAAAACAAAACAAAACACAGGCAAAAGGAAAAACTCACCACCATCAGTCACACACTGATCCTCTACTCTACCCCTTGACATGACTCTTAAACCTGCTAAAACTTGTCCTGGCTGCAGTCTATAAACCTTTCATTTAAAACACTCAACACAGCGTCGCATAGACGGGAGGGGCGGGGGAGTTCCAACATTGTAACTGTTGTATACTGTATGTGGTCATAAGGTTTCATTGATCAAAGAGCTATACTTTGTTCTGAGCCAAGAGACCTGCCTTTTTGGTTAATGTTCAGGAAAGACAGTGAAAAAAAAAAGCTGCATGTGAATATCAAAAATACAATAACATTAAAGTGGATACAGTAAAGCAGAGACGAGAGAATCAGATAAATGGGTTTAAAAAGAGTCCAAACAGAATCAGACCACCAAGATTAAGTCCTGGCTGGTTTGATCTCATTGAAGTGTCGTGCTGCGATATAACAGACGACCCCGTCTAAAAAAAAATAAAATAAAATGATTCAATCCATGTATGAAAGAAGGAAAAAAAAGAAAGTAAAATGCCATTTGATCTAAACTATCATACATGTATAGTTATCTAAAAATAGAACACTAAAAAAGATAAAACAACGAATGGATTGTGAATCAGGCTGGGAACCCCAAACATACAATTTTGATCATTGAACATTAGAGGGAAGTATGCCTGCCGTTTACGGGAACAGCAGTGTGCTTGTCGCTGAATTATAGAAATGTGGGTATTTATTCGTGTCGCTCGCATCTCAAAAAAAAAAAAAAAAAAATACAACTGAAGGCACTTGATCTATCAAAGGTTTAACTTAGACTTGCTGGCACAGCCAAGCAGCGGTGCAGTCAATCCGCAGGTTCGAACCCCTCCCACCCCCACCCCAAGCAACATGGGCCTCACGTTACCTTTACTCCAAATCAGTATTGTTCTTTATGCTCCAAATACATCATTTTTGGTTTTTCAGGCTTGTTGAAAAAAACAAAACAAAACAACAACAACAAAAAAGAATAAAAACACGAGGCCAAATATAAAGCTACTAGCTAGATGCAAAAGTCCCAAATACAGTTAAGTAGTGATGCGTCACGCTATTTTGCAAGAAAGAGGCTCCAGAGACTCCAGGGGATAACTGATCAGGGCAGAAGAGTGGAAGCACCTGCCCAGTGGGTAAATATGCCCTAGATTCACTGACAGGCCTGTGAAAGATTTGGGGACCCTTGCATAATTGTCTGTTCATAGGCCAGCCTTGAAGACACAGACAAAATACAGAGATAACACAACCAGTGAAGAGAACAGAACAATACTGCCAGGAAAAAAAAAAAAAAAAGAGGTTGGCCTTACATGCTGACACAGACACAGAAGTCCCGAGAGGCTTGCTGAAATGTCTGATAAAATCATCTATGATTCCTTCACAGATTAGAGCAGGCAGAAGTTCAGAGTGTAGGTAGAGGAGCGAGGAAGGAGTGGCCAGCTCGGCTTTTCTATAACCATGTGAGGAAACTCTCCTTGTCGAGCTTGGTAGCTGCCAGCACAGACTCCATGTCATTGAGGATGTCTGAGCTCAGCGCCTCCTGCAGGCTGGGCATCAGCTCCTCACCTTCCACCGCCATGCTCTCCCCCTCCAGGGTACCCAGATCTACGTCTGTACCAGGAATGGTATCCAGGTAGTCAGGGAAACGACTGGGCTGTGTTGCCATGGAGGGTGCAAGTGGGTCCCCTGATGAAGAGGGAAGAAAAAAAAAATGTTGATACTGTTTGATGTTACTTGCTCCAGAACAGGTGTGAAAAAGTTTCTCAAGGCTACAGCAGTTCAGTACCAGTACCTTTTAACCTCAACTTCAGCTAGTTTAAAAAGAAGGTATGATTAGATGTAAGTTAACCAAAATGAATTGGCATATCTTATGATAATGTATTAAAATAGTTCACTTTAAATCATTTCAGTAATGACTTGTGAACAAAAAGGCATTCGGTTATGAAGGGAATGCAGAAATATGTACAATAATAATCAGCAGCCGTGAGCAAATCATTAAGCCAAACCGACAGAAGAAGTGTGATCCATCCCATTCAGACAGAAATGAATCAAGAGTCAAGAATTCAGGTCAGATGTTTGCATCTGTTTAGGATTTCATATGTTTTGATGTGCACATGCATCGACGCATTTAATCAGAACAGTATGACGTGTGAAACAGATACAAATGTCATTATGTCCACCTCCTCATCTCTTATGATCCGTTTCCCTAATAGGACTACATTCTGTTTTCAGGACAATAAACATCTTTTTTGTTCTTATATTCAAAATGTAGCCTTTCAGATTAAAAGCTGCAATTTTTTAAAAGACTCAAGTCTAAACTTGCAGGAAGCAAACGGCAAGAAAGGAATCCGGCTAAATTGTTCATATTGAAAAACCTTTATCTGACTGGTTAATGAAAATGTTTAAGCACCCCTCGGCAGGAGATGGTTCCAGCCTGTTTATTTTGACTGAGCACTTTTATTCCACTTGGGTCAAAAATATTAGTCTCTGTGGCTCACCTGTATCCATCTCATCCACACTGTTCAGGAAGTCATCTGGAGTGCGAGGGACACTGTAGCTGCTCATACTCAAGCCGCTGTCTGTGCTCTCATCCCTGGAGTGGTAGGTCCCGCTGGAAATGCAGAAATGATGAAATGTTGGTTAGAAATGCTGCTCTGTTACCAATGAACTCTAATGGCCTATAGTTTACTTTAAAAGTGAACTGTTGAAATCAGCGGCCTTAACTCCCTTTACATACATGCACATTTAAATGGTTCAACCCTCTAGAAACGCTACGTGATGACTAATCTGCAGTGACACCATTGAAAGTGAGCTTCACTTTTTTCCCCCCTTTTTAATCTACACTATATTGCAGTACATAGGCAAAGAGCAGCAATGAAAGGGGCAACTGAGACAAAATGAGAGAGAGGACATTTGACAAGCCTATACTAATTAGCAGAAAAATATGTAGGCAGAGTATGGCAGAGGCACGATGAATGAGGCCATTGTGAGCGCAGAGGAGTGCAGGGAACAGGGGGAGGAGGGGAGATTAGGTTGGCCTGTCTACTGACTGGACCACATGTTCTCATGGCCTGCCTGCTATTCAGCTCTTTTCCTCACTTTGTGTGCTCACAGAAGAACTAGAGCTTGAACTACTAGAAATTATTTCCCAGCATACCGTGGGGCAGCATTCACACAATAAAAAGCTTCCTGTACCTTTGTTGTTCAAATCTGTACAGCCTCAGACCAGCAGATTTTCACTTTATTTATTTTTTTTGGAGGGGGTGGGGGGGCTGTCTCACTCTTAAAATAAAAGAGTGGTCTTGTATTATTTCATAACTTGCGTCGCCATTTAAGCTCTGACTGACTTTACTGCAGCAGTTGTACACCAGAGGTCATCATTGAACTCCAGGCACAGATCTGCTGCTCTGAATGAGTCATTACCATGTGAAGAGGGTTAAGGCCCAGAGTTTGGCCTTCTGTTTTTACTACCACAGCTCAAAAAGTTTTGCACACAGATCCCTAAAACAGGATAAAGTCTGATGGGCTGAACCAAAAGTCAGCTGGTGCCAATCAGACTGTAGCGGTTGATTGTCTCCTTATTTTGTTCCACACCGAACACGCCTGGCTTATGTGTAAACCGAACCTGTTGAGGAATGGATCAGAGCTGTTGGCCGTCATGGTCCGGGCATCTTGAGCCATAGGGGAGGACACAGGGTTTGTGCTGCCATCTTGATCCATACTGGTAGGCAGCTGGTTCCTTAGAGCCAGCTCCTGCGGATAATAAGACACAAAAACTCATGAGCAACACTGTCAACACCACCCCTAACATCCAAAGCTAATTATACACAGCTAGAGCTTCATGGAGGCGTTTTTTTACAGCCTCACTGGTCTGCTGTCAGACATGTTGGTCTCCATTTCTCTCCTTGCACGGTGTCATATTACATGAGGGGCCGGCCACAGTTGTAGACAATTGTTTTCTACACATGAGGAATCAGATAAGGTTGAGGATATGAAGTCATGCTTTTCTTTTTCACCCCCTTCCTTCTAAGGGGATGTGAACAGAGCTGACCATAGTCACCATTTTCAGCTCTCATTGAAATTCTACAAAGACACTATTGGAAATGCACTAATTATACTTTTTTTTTTCTACTTAGTATTTGGTATCAGCAAGTAAAATAAATCAAGTATAAGTAGTCAGTAATAAGATTACGTTTCAACCTTGGCTCAGTGACACTGCAGCATGTAGTGCAGTATAGGTTGCTGATATCTGCCATCTGTGCATTCCTTGAAACAAAAGTGAGGCAGCCTACGCTTTCAATAAGTGCATAAAGTAAATTTACCTCTTCAAACACACAGCTGTTGCAGTGAAGTTTGGAACAGTTTCAGCTGAACCAAAAGTTGCAGTTGTGTGATAAATGACCTGCTGACACTATCAAAACCACGTAAAAATAAAGCTAGCTAAACCGGCTGTCTGAGCAGCACACGCCCGGCAAGGCATGTCTGATGGCTCATCTGCATTTGAAGTTGCAGCAATCTCCTTTGTGTTGCGGCATTTCTACGGTTTTTCACATTTATGTTGCCATACATAAGTGAAGGACTAACTATAAGCTAGTCATAGTCAATGCAACATCAATAATTCATTTTATTTCCTGTAGTATTAATTAGCGTACAAAGGGTTTTAAGTTAGCCACTCACCTATTCTTCATTACATAACTGCATAAGTGCATACATTTCCATTTGTGTCAAGTTTTGCTCCAAAATTGAACTCCCCATACACGCCTAACGTTATGCAATGTACTCCTGACACGCACTACAAGATTTGTAAATAAATGATAGCCACCATAATCCAAACAAAACAGAGTTACAGGGGTTTCGGGTTTATTGGAATCTAGCGGCTAGACAGAACCCCTCTTTATATCTTTGCCTGGTCTGCAGTGCCTTTCCACATTTTATTTTCCATTTTAACTGGTGGCCGTGGATGTCTGAGGCTTGGATAATTCAGTTGCTCATGTTTCTTTACATAACTGATGAATTTCTATCCATCATTTTAATTGTGTTTGTCTACACAAGACACTAAGTGAAATCAGGCAGCTTCACTGAAATAGTCTGGTCCCACTTTTGCTCGCGGGCACTTGTCATGCACGTAACAAAAACAAAAATTGTAAATAAAGTCATAATTCTGATTTTAAGGCTTTTAAAATAGCTAATAGGTCAAAGTATCTGAAAGAAAGTGTTTGTGCTCATCATACTCTCATAATCTCCTTCTTTAAAAGCCAACAGTAACCAGGCTACATAAGCATGCAGAGCATATTCTCTTAAAAAGGACAGTTCCAATAATTTTCCCTTTATAATCCAGTGCCTGCATACACACGGGTCACGTCCTACAGTGAACTTTAAACAACCCATCTGAACCCGAGGCATGGTAAACAAAGTCACCAGCACTCTCATTCATAATCATAAAGCTCCAAATCTGGTACTATGACACAGCCTTGAGTAAACTACCGCTCCACCCTGCGTGGGTGGCACCACTGTGACACATCAACCTTAGGAAGTGATAATTATTAAGGACGATGACTCACAAGACTTCACTGCAGTGTGGTGTAACAATAAAGACTGATCAAAGAGGCTTAGGATCCACCACTATCCCTGCCAAGATTTTAAAGCTGTACATTTTAAAGTGTAAACATTTTGCTGCTGCACTCATTCAGCAAATGAACAGTTTGAGGTTCAGTGTCGTGGTGGAAACATACTTAAAAGCATTTGTTCTTCCATGAGGCCCTGGCACTTCCAAAAGGCCTTAAAAATATTTTGAGCTGCTTTAACTCTGATTCCTGACCTGTGGTCTCTGCCGAAGCAGCTCCTGTTGCTTCTGTCTCAGTCTTTCCTTCTCCATCTGAAGTCTCATCTGGTTGTTGCTTCCCATAACTCCACTGATGCTAGGAGGCAGCTGCCCGGCCTGTTTCACTGGAGCACTCTGGGAAATTCTCTGCTGGTTCAGAGCTACAAATAAAATAAAAGTTGTTTACATATCAGTCAAATGCACATAATGCAAAGACCCCAAATGCTGTAACGACAAGGATAAACTTTGCAAAAAATGGTTGCTAACTGCTTTGTTGTAAAGGAAATACTTTCAAAATATTTTTTAGGCAAAGCGGGGGAATATTCAGACCTGACAGCAAAACTTAAGTGCTGTGCTTATGAGACACCTTTATCCTTTGGACTTTACTATATTGAGATATATGCAAATTTAACAATGTCAGCTCTCAGAAGCTGGCAATAAAATTAACATACATGATTTCTAGTTAGCAGACTAGATAGACTAGTATCTTCCCATCTCTCTTCAGAAACTTCCTGCTACCTCACCTCTTTAATGGATCGCTGCATTTAAATACTACATAACAAGACCAACAACTTGTGCATTTGTCCACATAGTGAAATTGCAAAAGAGGATCCAGTGCAGCAGGTTGTGTAGGACAAGGGAAGTCCCAGCACAAGTTGTCCACCTAGTATCTAAAACAATCACTATTCCTGTAAGACCTGATCTCCTCCCACTCGCTGACTAAGACGAGCTTTGTTAGTTTTGTACATTGCATCAGTCATGACTTATCCTTTCATTGTGCGTTTTGTTTCCTTCTAAACAAATCGCCGCTTATCCCTCGAGACTGACTGCCTTCTTACCCTGGCTTGATGTGTCCACTTAAGCTGATTTAACGCATGCAATATGATTGCTCTGTGCCCATTAATATAGTGCAGGCCTACCTAAGGTAATGCAAACACAGTACCACTTCTAAATTTACATTAAAGGCTCTTTTACACAACAAATGTTACTGCATTAAGCATTTGTAAGCCGACTACATGTTTACAATATCAGAACAAATGTGTTTGTACTGAAAACACAGCTGTTCCCAAATGAAATCTTTGTTATTCTTCAGTGTAGTGGGGGTGGGTCTAATAAACATAAGAGTAAAGCACAATGCGATGCTGCAATCTATGCATGCAAAGTAGGTCACACATTTGCAGTGGAGTAAACGTGAATGTGTTGCACCAACAATAAAGGAGCCAACGAGGTGTGCTGTTTGCTTATGTGCTTGAAGCGCCAATCACAACAAAGCTTTAATGGGGCGGGGGCGCAACTTTCATGCGGGTCTGGCCCTCTCTGTTCTGTCCTGCCCGCCCCGGCACCTTTCTCATCACCATTCAATCACTGTCTGTTTACACTATTGCAGGGGCTGAATGAACCATAGCTGAGGGCTCTCCCTGGGAAGCTTTGGAGGCCCCACCTTGCCTTGCCTTCCACCGTCCCCTCCCCTCTCTGACCGCAATGTCTCCCCAGCAGCCCCACCCCAAGCGCGCGCACACACACACAGACTCATGTAGGCAGCTTCCCCCACACACACGTCAAGAGAATCCGTGGGAGACTGTTACTTCTCCCTACTTCTTATCTTTGGCAGATACTGAAGCCTTTTGTGGCTGGAGCGCTCCGCCATCGGGGCACCATTAACTGTTCTCATGATGGAGTCTCTACGCATGGGCCATGTCAGCAGCTGCAGATCTGTTAAGGCCTTAGCTTTGAAGACGAGTTGCGTAAAAGCGATGGGACACATATGGAGAGATCCACTGATACACAAAGCCAAAAGATAAAGGAGAAGTTTTAATGTCAAAACCTGGGTCTTTATTTTGACCCCAGTTTCTATTTATGACAGTAACCTTTTATTCATACGAACAGTGCCAAAGGGAAGTCAGCTTCCAATCACCTCCTCCTCCAGCCAATTTGCAGAACAAGGTGAAAAAATTCTGCAGAACGATCGCGTAGTTTCGCCTAATTTTACAAAAAACTACAAAAATCAGAAGATTTGTTAGTTCTCTGCCAAGTAAATTATGCTCAACAAAACTATGTGATTAGTTAAAGTCAACGGCTTCCTTCAGGGGAGCAAAGTTCCTGCTGCAAAACCAAGTCAAGGACTCTTTTTGCAGACCAAATAGCAACAATAACCAATGTTACTGGATGAACTATGCACAAGCAATGCAGATATCAAAGAAGGGAATTACATCTGTGGGCGAGATAGTTGCCAAGGATAGGTTCATTTCAGGGCCAGACTGATATTTTAAAAGGAGGCCACTCAAGGCAAAGAAGACTGTGTGTGAGAGTGCGTGTGTGTACTTTTGGAGAGGTGGTTTGAGTAAGCAGCACATAGAGGTAGTGATTGCCGGTGAGCCAGTCAGATAAGAGACAAGTTAATGCTGTCTGCCTTTTGTCTTCTTCACGCACTCCTGCAAGACAACGAGCCAGCGACACAACCCCTTATCAGTCAATCACACTGGCAGGCATATTACACCACAAGATCACCTGGGGCAGGTAAAGTTGAGGGTGTGCCAGCTGTGGGAAGCTCTCTATATGACCAGGCCTCAGCACCTTTTAAGACTTAGTAAATATTTACCTGCTTTCGATTTAACAAGTTTAACAAAAAAAAAAAAAAAAAAAAAAAAGGCATCTTGGGAAGGTGTTGTATTTCTAGCATCAAGATAAGTAAAGCGGCAAAACAGACTGGATGTGATGCAAACAAAGTTTTATCATCTTGTACTCAGTAAGCTAAAACCAGCCTGTGCCGACTTGGCTCTGAGAGGCATGAAAAAAATAAGTCAGGCGAAAATCAAGAGTGTAGGCTAACAGGTTATAATACAGCTGTATCTGACACTTCTAATAGAAATCTATTAATGCGTACACTCAATTCCATTTAATGGTCACCAATAAAAAAAAAAAAAAGAAAAAAAAAAAAAAAAAAAAGCATAGAATATTTTTTAAAATGGCAAAGCTCAAACATAAACTATCCAAAGTACTCTGGGATGCTGTTTGAGAGTTAAGAAGCTGCTCCTGACTTTTTCCACATGACATTTCTTAATTCTGTTTGTATCACAAATGCCAAACTACCCTATAACAGCGACATTTTCAACAAGGTTCCAGCTTTTCTGGTTTAGTACTCTGACAGTACTCAAACAGTATTACGCCAAGTCTTCAGATGAAAACATTGAAGTCCCAGGGGAATTTTTTGTCTTTCTGCTGTCATTTCCTGTATGTGCCCACAGCAACACATATAGGATATGACATCCACATTAGCCAGTCCCCTTTTGAACTCCCACGTCACCGTGGACTCGCAGCTTGCTCACCACCTTTTTGGATCTTAAACAGGATGCATGTTTATCCCATCGTCATTTTCTCTCTATTCCTCAGTTTTTCTTTCCTCCCCTTTCGCCTTGCCCCCCTCCACCACTCCCATGCCCTCCCCTCTTTAGAGTTCTTTGACTGAAAAGGTCTGGAACAGATTAAGAGTTGGAACACAGAATAAAGAGGCCTGGCAAAGATTCAAGTCTGTCTGGAGCTACAGCAGAATGGGGCTGTGCCTGCACTGGGCCTCACACAGGGGGAAGGCAGCCGGCAACAACCCTCAGTTAAAGGCACTCTGCTGCTTTTCTTCTCAAAGCTCAAATTAGCCTCCATTATCAAAGCAGTTGGCTTATGATTGAAGACCTACATAGCAGCAGTATAGGGGCTTCTGAAGCACAGGAGCTTACTTAAATAGTACAAAAGTGCAAATGCATACAAAAAAATGATAACAAACAAAACTACTGGAATTAAAAAAACAGTTCAAAATTCATAAGTTTTACAATTTTTCATAAACCTAAGAAGGTACAAACTGCCACAAATGAGAAATACAAGCAGTATAAATGTGACGTTTTAACAATTATTATAAAAAAAAATGTTATACCATGAGGAACAAAATCATGTTTATGGCACATAATGAGTTAAGAGCCTGTCTCTTTCACTCTTTCTCCCCCTCTCTCGCTTTCAGGGGCCCAGCAGCCTTGTGTGTTCAAGACTTATAAACCTTCAAAGAGCTTTGCCGATTAAAGCCTCCATCTCTCCCCAGCTGCCCCACTCCCCTTACAACTCTGTTTTGAACTTTCCTGTCTGCTTTCAGAACAGGGACACACAATTGCTTACATAAAAATTGCCCTTTAAGTGGCCATGCTCGGTAAAAAACTAACACTAAATTTAAGCGGGCCGCACGCTGATTCACACATGTTGCCTTTGTGAACCAGGGTAAAGTTCCCTGGGGAACACTTCAGTGATGAAAAGCATGTCACCTGAAGAATAAATGAGTCAGAGTGACATAAGCCCTCATCTCTGGAAGTCTTTCTGGCACACGGGAGGATTAGCTTATTCCCATGGCCACAGAGTAGTCCGAACACATGTACCTGGCTCTGTCACTAATTCACCAACCCTGACCACCACACACTCGGAGCTAACTTTAGCTTGGCCCGAGGGATTAATGGCAAACTCAGCTGTTGTGCCATAACTAAAACGGCTGACAAAAGTGTAGGTGTGAATTTTGAGGGTGGGGGTTTTAACAAAATCTGCCTTCAACCACCAATGCTATGTCTAGATAGCCCAAAGCACTCTGGTGTGGTTACATTAACTTTGAACCAAAAGTGGAGAAGGAACACCTCCCTCAAGTGTGAACATTTAATTATATTTTCAGGTGTCTTTCAGGTGTCTTTCCTATATTTAATCAATACAACACACTTTAACACTAACAATCTCAGTCCAAGGCAAACTCACCATAACGTGGCTCAAGTCGTGGGTCCAGCCAGGATGTGGTCTTGTTCTTGTGATTGATGTAGTAAATTTCTCCCTCTGCTGTAATAGCCTGTTCCCAGCCATCAGGGAGGGGTCCTAAAGGGACGATGCAAAAAAAAAAACAAAAAAAAACAAAACAAAGTCTAAGAGATCCTACAGGTTCAATCTATGCTTTAATTGACTGGCAGAATTTTTTAAACTTCTTACAGTCAGCTGACAAAGAGAACAAAACAAAGCAAAAACTTCCCATATGGAAAGCAAAAGGAATAAATAGACAGAAGAATTAGAGATGGTCGTAATCTTTCATCTCTGAATTAATCATTGCCATCAGCCACTGAAATCAAACAATCCTGTCTGTCAACAGTTGACAGATGACTAACAATGGGTTACCAGATCGGTAATCTTTAATCTTTACCCAGTTTCTGATCTGGCCTTTGTCCAAAACTGGCCTTTCTGACATGTAGCTCCATATTGGAGATGGTTCACTTCAGATGCATTCTAATACTGGAAACGCTGTTTGTTTAGATGAGGGGTGGCGGCCAGGTACAGCATGCGAGAGGAAGGACTCGCTTGCTGTGATTTCAGTGGACCGATTCCCTGCTATATTCTCACATGGCTTTAAAGGACATCACACAGTGTGTGCATGTGCAAAAGTAGCTATTGAGTCAGAGTTCCCAAACATGTCAAACAGGACGCGTAACGTTCTGCCTCAATCTTCCCTCACCTAGGGCAAATTCCAACTGTATGGACAGACCTGAGGTACACCAAGTAGTAACAGGTAAGAACCAGACTGTACCTGACTTGTTCGGTATAATTTTTTTCTTCTTTTTTTTTTTTTTATTGTTTTGCTTTACATATGTGAACACACAAAAAATGCATGTTGAAAAAAATACACTATGAACGTTGTGCAAAGGAAGAACTGAAATAATTGCCATTCACTGCTGAAAAATTACACAATGCATTTCATGCACTGCCGCTGATATAAAAACTAAATTTGACAAAATCAACAGATACACACCACTGGCTGGGTTCATGATAGGTTGCGGCTGGACTGGCACAGAACTGGGAGGGGCAGGCTGGTTCATCTGGAGCAAGGCCTTGCGTGGATCCTGCCAAGTGGTGGTCTGATCAATGTGGCTGTAAGGAGATAGGACAGCCAATAAAAATAAGTCACAGAAATGACCATCTAAGATTTCCTACAACTAATAAGCAGTAAGGCCAAACTAGGGCTATGTCAATACAACACATAAATGTTGACTCAGACCCATTTCATCAACCTCATGAACAAAAACACTGAATCTACCCCCCCCTCCCCCCATTCTGTAAATGATGACTGTTACTGGAAGCGAAACTCAATGTTGACTGTGTGTGTTCCAGCCTGGATTCAGTCTAGATTTACACTACTCATTCATTCATGATTTGAATCTATGTGTATTGAATAACAATGGAAAAAAGAAAAAAAACATTAAATTATATTTGAAATAAGACAAAACAAAAGCAGCACACTGCAAAAAATGAAAATAAGTCAAGTCAGGCTGAAAGCTTCTTGAAAATGTGTAGCGGCCTATGATTGGTTTTAAAACACCCATTGTAACATCAAACAATGTTGCTCCATCTATTTTCTGGCTCATCTTTGCTGGAACAGGACTGAGGCTTGGGGGAGGAGGCATTGTGTTTCATTCTGTGAAGGCATTGATAATTAGTGCTTTGTTGGTACTTGTTGCTTGATTAAGATGGAAAGCTAATACAGGAAGCCCTCCTCTCCCGAGCAGGACCCTCTCTATTGAGGGAGGGTCAGTCCCAGGGCTCAATGCAGGGGGTCCTTTTTTCCTGGAAGCGGCTCGGACACTACAGAGTGTCAGGGGCTTTAACAATCTGGCGCCACATTTACAAAGCTTTCACCTGCTTGACAAAGGCACAGACTGAGCTACGACCTAAAACCCCACTATTCACTTGTTTTCTCTTTTTTTTTTTAAACTATCCCATTTTTTTGAAAAAGAAACAAAAACTAATCTCATACAAAAGGCATGAAATTCAAGTGTTTTTGTTTCATACATCACCACAAATCTTGCATTTATAATGTAACTTGACTGAGTTATTTCAACACACATGGCAAAAATAGTTTGTTTGTCATGCACCTAAATGTTACCCACAGCTATCCATTATACCCCAGGTTCTAATGGTGTCCTTCCACCCACTGCGTTTCTTTACAACTCACTGTTAATTTGATCCCTAAACGCCATTAGCACAGATTTTGGAACAGCTGGGTGAAATGAGAGATTCAGAGAGTTTCTCTTGGCCTCTGCGGTAATCCCAGCCTGCCTGTCTGCTCTCGATCCCAGGCCAGAGAGCGAGGGGACCTGACTCAGCACTCCTCCCCCGATACAATGCAGCCCATTTTGAAGCCCCCTCTTGTTTATGCTTTATTGATCAAAGGAGCTGCCAAATCCCCTACCGAACCCTCCCCCAGCCCTCACACGCACACACACATACACACACACACACCCACACAAGCACCGCAAACCAAGCAAAATAGTTGGAACTGCTCAGACTGGGGGGGCCTTGAGAAAGAAAGGTCAGGGAGAGGAGGGGCATATAACTGGAGAAAAGAAAAAAAACAAGTGAAAGTTAAAAAAAAAAAAAATCTACAGAAGCAAATCCCCTGAATTCCATTGGCTGTGTGAGTTGCTGTGGTTCTGTTACAGTCTGAGTGCCCGCCCTGCCCCATTTCCTGCCTTTTTCCCCACTCTGGAAACTATGACATTTGTTATGGGGGGGGGGGGGGGGGGAAAGGGGGGAGGCAGGGAGACGGGCACTAGGGTAAAAGGGAAGGGAGGGTTTATTGTAAATGAGAGGCCTGCACATCCTTGCACGTCAATGGCAAAAAAAAAAAACTGCTAAAAGTGGGGAAAAAAAGAAAACACTGATAGGAACATAAAACTTTAAAACCTTAAAATCAGATTCTTGAAGTTATGCACAGATAAAAGGTATATTGAATTTTCTATCAAAGACTAGTTGGAACTGCCAACTTCCGTTGATCAAATCAACCACAACAACTGTAAACAAAGCCTTAGTTCAAAATACAGGCAATAATGATCTAAAAGCCTGTGATGAAATCGACTTTCTGTTCAATAGTGCTGAAAAGAATATTGAAAAGAAACTGAGAAAACCGGTAAATGAGTTACCAAGAGTCAGTAATTCATCACCAGGTTTTAAAACTAAAAGATAATCTATTCACTGAACCTGCCACCAACCATATATGGTCAGCTGCACGGCTTCCTGTAGGTGAAACATAAAACAAAACAATGTCATGGCAACTGTTGGGACGCCTGGAGGCCACCAGTTGCTGTTAGGAATTGCTGATGATCTGCAACCCCACGGTTACAACTGCTCGGTGTTTTCTTTACATGTTTCTGACACCACAACGAGCACAGCAAGGCAGCCTTTGTACCCTGCCCCCTACTGCATACCCGGGGATGGGCAAGATATTTTTGGGGTTGGTCCTGATCCATACAAGTGCAAAAAAAGTTTACAATTTTTTTTAAGTAAGCTGTAAAACTGTGCTCTCAAAACTCTCATTCAAGCTGCGACCCAAACATTAAGAGAATGCTTAAAATAAATGGCGTCTTTTGACTCTTTACACACAAACTGCTGCTGTGTGATTACACACTAAGCACATGAATGGACAGAATAAAATAAGTCTACATGCCACAAAAAAATGTAACCTGTATAGACACGTTTCAATCCATAAACAATGAACTAGCAGCTATATTCTATTTCTGTCACATGGTTTACATAAACAACAACATCCTCCTCCCCCAAATTAAGTCCCTTAAGGGGGATTTTTTTTTGTTAACACAAACATCTTTTGGTGTTCCAACCCCAAATCCTAGTTTAGATGACGGGACAAGGTGGTGGGGAAAAAAAAAAGTCTCATGTTTGTCTGGGAATCATCACAGACAAACTATAACAGATCATTTCTTCTGCAAATGACCAGGTACTGCAGCCAAGAAGAACAATGTCTTTCAAATGCGATCCATTACTTTCCATCTTTTGCTCAAGTTGTCATGTTTGACCGTGTCTTGCTGAGGCATGAAGGCAAAACTCTACTTTGCTGAAATGATATATGGGATGACTTATAAGTTTCCTGCTCAGGACTAACTGGAGTAAAAATACAATGCAAAGTGCTAATCGTTAAGGACTGACTGAAAAGTCTGAGATTTAAGAGATTCAGGTTTCCGGAGTGTGCTGTAAAGGGTTCACGATCCCTTACGTGCAAAAGTCTGAATTCCCCCACTTGATTTTTCAAAAGCTGCAGTGAATTACTGTAGTATTATAAACTAGTATGACAAACACACAGCCTGCCTGTTTATGCTCATGAAAACTATGGCCGTTTGCATCTGGCTTTGTAGAGAATTTACTACTCAAAAAACATAAAGTCTCCAAATAACCTCTGCCACCTTCAAAACACCAGATCAAAGCTCGATTTCAGTCCAGGCTGACTGTTTATTCCACTGAAATTGCACATCTTCAAATCCAGATGTCAAGTGCTGCATTTCGCTGGTGTAATACAGGGGAGTGAAGCTATGAGAAGTGCAGCAGTGATGAAGCACTCCCACAGCTGAGTTGTCAAATGTTAAAAATGGGATCGTCAGACCACAGGAGCTCCACCCTGGGAGTATGTGCTTGGAAGTTGGTTGAAGCCAATGACTTAAGAGTGCACTGAGGGAGGCCAGATGTAATCAGGCCTCTAAGTTGAGGGTGACCACCTCCACTCTCGTTGACTGGAGATGCCTGGCTGCCTCTCTATCAGCAGGACATCATCAAGAGAGATTATTGGGGCAACCTTTGTGACCCTATTGTGGCTTTAAGTTTCCCTTTGAAGGGTGGTTTGTATTAATGAGGAAACTAGTTCATGAAGTACCAGGACTGAATGTTCCTCGGTTTTTCCACTGTTTATTTTTTAAGAGCAATTTCAAGATTGAATGTAATTTTAGGGATTGTCGTAATTAAAGATTAATAGGTGGGGGGTTTTTTTTAAGCAAAACTTGCCTGACAAAGTACTCCGCATAAGCACTTCTCTTAATCATTTACCAAGTAACATTGCAAACTTATTAATAGGTGCATACTTTTAGTCAAATAATATATCAATATTAAAATAAGGTTATCCGAGTATTTTGAAATCTCTAAATCCCACCTGAGAGGTGCACCTCTCAGAGACTACTTCTCTGTGGAGATGCCCTTAGTGACAGTGGAGGCATTGATGTCTGAAACAGAGGTGTTACATCAAACCTTCGGTAAACATTAGTCTGACTTTCTCACAGTCCAGTTTGTGTACTGAGCTGACAGGCCAAAGTTGAACAGGAAGGTTCTTGTCTGTGTGTGGTCAATAAACCAAAAGTTTGTCAAACACAAAGTTGCTCCAAATGAGGGCTTTGCACAAGCTTACCGCCCAGTCTTCCCAGCACCATTTGTGACTGACCAAGTGGTCTTAGTTTACAACGTCTTAGAATGAAAACCAATTTGCATATTTATCACTTTAAACTCATCGCAAAACAATTATATATACCATTTATTTCATTTACTATAAGATCAGTGTTAGCCAAGCTATAAAGGTAAAACTTGTTAGTGAATTTAAAAATTAATTGATATTGTTTTTATTTAATTTATTACATCACTACAGTATTAATGACTAGATGAAAAACTGTCAAGTAGTTAAAGTCTGACTATGGTTTAAAAGACAACATAACACTGCAATTGCAGCTTTATTTGCTCAATTCATGGCGACAGTTGGAGAGCCTAAAGCTTGACTAGGCCATTTTTGTTTTAAATGCAGTAAATATTACCATGTTATCTGCTGGAATTGATTTATCAATATAATCTTATAGTTTAAAATCAGCATAACAGAGTTATTATAATGTACTACAGCAAGAGCATAAGGCCTAAATAAACATCTTTCCTGTGCAAACAGGCAATCTCTGACTTGTATTTAGAGCAACAGATGTTCAGGAAATCACAGACAGAGTATAGTAAAAGCTGATTATTAGCCGATTTACCCGGGACTCTGCAGCAGTGTAAGTCTGAGAAAATAATTTGTTTTTTAAAAACATAACACTAAAGAAAGGATTTATTAAAGTTCTTCACAGTGGATAATCATCTCCTTGAATATCTAATCATGAATCATCTTTAGCCACTGCAGAGTTAAACCTTAAGAGAGACACATAGTCTGCTCTTTTCATGTGAAACCAAGCTCATCAAAACATTTAAAAAACCCAGTCGAGAAAAGACAAAAGTGTCCATCAACACGTAGATCTACCTGCCCCTCAGGGCAGATAATAGCCTCCCCCCCTCCAGAGCTTTACTCTGCTTTGAGCTGACTTCCCACGAACTGAAAGCTCTTTCAAAGCTGCATTTAATAAGCGCCCGGAAACAGTGATTACCCCTCCTAGTTCACCGGTGTGTCTAAATTAGAAACCTTCATTAGTTTATGACCCACCCCTGGAGACCATCCCTGCCCCCGTCCCACCAACAACCAAGGTGACCCAACCTCTGTGCCCTGGCTGTCATAAATCAAAGGCCGCAGCAAACTGCTGTGAAAAAGACGAAAGGTCAACAGACTTTGTTGACGTTCTCCAAGTATTTGTTTTTATGTAACAGCCAAAACAACAAAAAAAAGACGGCATCCTATTTGACTCTGATTACCATTAGGGCTGCGACTATTGATCACCACCAACAGTTATAACAAAATGTCTCACTTTTTAAAATTTAAATTTAAAAAGTGCATCACGTTTATCAAATGATATTTATATCGCTTCAACACCATTTGCTACTCTAAAGGAGAAAAAAAAAGTGCTAAATCTGTCACTTATCATCACTGGTTAGTATTTACACCAAAATTAAACTAAATTAAAAAAAAATATCAGAACTTCAGGTGTGAAGAAGGTTAAAGTCTTAACAAAGCCACCACTCTCTCACCCCCATCTTTAAACTTCATGTCAGCCATTTGTCTATTTCGGGAAGGCTCACATGAGTCTCAACAGGCCCGTCGTCTGAATAAAGATCACTGTTTCGCTGCTGGGACAAAGGGGGAGGGCACAGTTTCTTTTGGCCCCTCTTCTAGTGATCTCCACATGGCTGCCATTTAACTTCATTGACACAGAGAGGCACCATCACAGAGTCACAGCTCCATTCATACCAAAACAGAGCATGACTCCTGAAGGAGTGAGGCATCGAAATCTAGAGACTCACTGACTCAGAGGCCAGTTATTGCTACGCATAATCCTGCAGTACACTAATAAACAAATAGTATCTTGAAAAAAAAAACAACTTCAACCCTGGGTTCATTTATCTCTAAGGACAACAGCAAGCAACCAGAGTGAAATGTGAACCCCCAACTCTCTGCTTTCCTAGCTGGTGACCAACTCCCCACCCCCACTAGTCCATAGCTAGCACACACACACACACACACACACACACACACACACACACACACACACACACACACACACTTGCTCTGCTTCACTCTCTCTGCAACACATCTTGGTCAGACAGCCCCTGTTTATAAATAGGGGAGTGTCTTTTCCAGCAGCTCTGGCAAGCCTGCTTTTATTCCAGATCAAATATCTGCTCTTTGATCTGTGTGGAAGATGTCTCCTCGCGTTTTCCGTACTCAAACACAAACACAGTGTACTATACTCACTCTGGTTGTATAACATGCCAGTTGGAAAAACAGTTAAGTCTCTGCAAAGAAATGTGTTTCACATCCCGTTAACATCAAACTCTATGTGAGTTGAAAGGAAGAGGCCCTCAGGTATACGCTATATAAACAGGTATATATTATATCATCTATGAATAATTGGATAGTTTAGCATTTAAAAAAAAAATAAATTACCGACCAGTGAGATCAAATGACTGTTTTTATACACAGAAAGACTCTCGGTTAACACACCTGACTTGTGAACTTATGGCTTTTATACTGCCAATTTTATACACGTTATATTTTATTCTGCCTTTATCAGTATTTTAGGATAAAATACTCTAAAGAACCACAAAGATCTCGAGTCTTTCAGAGTACTGTTTTGATTCCTCTATTCCCTGTCCATTATTTTTTTGGCCTCCACAAAATGGGCCAGATGTTCTCCAGATGTGCAACCTTAAAACATGTGGTAATGAAAGCTCTCTTTTTTTTTGGGATCCAAGTAAGTTTGAAGCTATCATGTTTGTCCAGACTCTGCGTCAGAGAGTAACATTTCCTAGAACTGACAACATTTTGCCTTTGAGTAAAGAATGAGGACTTTGAGTGTCAAGCCTTTTTTTAAACAAGAGCTGCTGAAGAGTTCATAAACTTTAGAAGGCTTCACAATGAGCAGATTACATTAACATAAATTGTTGACAAGCACGCCACTTTTATGAATAATTCAACCCATCTTTGCCCAGAGCTACAGACAGTGGAAATAAAAAGGGTAACAAATGCACAAAAAAGTATTAAAGAACCAAAGCCCTCAAAACCCGAGAAGTAATCGATACATCCTGTGACAAGCCTAAAGGTCTCTACAGTACCTGCAAACAAGAAATCTACATTACTATGGATGATTAATGCGAAGAAGATCTACTGAGTAGCAGAGGAGCTTTGCAGAACTGTTCTTTGCTGTCTGGGGTAGCTACAGTGCTCCATTGTCTCTACTGAAACCTGAGACCAAGAAAAGGAGCACTAGATACAGCAATCATTGCTCAAAAGACTTCTCTTGTTTGCTGAGCCCACCAAATTTAATAACCTACAATTTAACTATTGCAATTGTCTCTTTCTGGACACAGTGGCAACTATTGTGTAACAGATTTGAAAATCATTGTCAGCATAATGTATGCTGAATAGAGATGTAGTATTGAGAGCTGGGCCCTGTACTACGAAGCGAGTTCAGCATACCCAGGGTATCCTTCGTTATCCAGATTTACTCACCCTAACACTGGCGTTCGGGTAAGTGGTCACACTAAGCTGGTTATTAACTCACTAAGTTAGCCCAGGACTTCCCAATCGAGGTACACGTGAGTTCACATGAAAGAGGTGGTGCTGGTAATGTCTGATCACATTGATTAGTGTACTAGTAGCTGATTTTACAAAGAAAGAGTAAACTTTAAAATGAGAAAAATATGAAGAGGTTACATAAATGATATAAGTATTTGTATCCACTTTAGTTAGAAAGCTATTATTAAAGTGTAGCCACTTGTCTGAGTTAACAGATAAAAATATCCCATTAAGATATTGGAGAATCTGATGAGCTGTTATCAACTAGTCCCATCAAATTTGCATAAGACAGTTATAGTTTTCATTCTCTCAGCTGCAATCTGTGTCTTTTAAGTATTTAAGAGTAAGTTTAAATACAACAACAGAATTCAAATATAGGCTTAGTCTATGTACAAATTTGAAATGAGGTTAGAAAGTGCAGTATAGGTGTCCTGTTTTAGGATCGTATATTACTGACTAACACTTATCAAAGAGTAAAATTGTTGCTGACAAATATGGGAATGAATCTAGATTTATCACCGATGCTCATCAGCTAACACAAAGACTTTAGACACTACTGAAAAACTAGAGCCCCCTACTCTACCCACATAGGGATTGTTCAGGCAGGGTGATGCCAGTTTCTGAAGAACTGCCTGGTCAGTAGGTGGTGATTTCATACCTGCTGATCTCTAATCAGGAACCTAACCTGTTCCGGAGCAGGTTAGGGTTAAGGGTTAAACTTCAGAGCTAATCCAGAAGTTACCCAGATAAGATTAAATCCTGCTTTGTAGTACAGAGGTCTCTATAGAGACCTGTCACAAGACCAATTCTTTGGTAACTTTCATTGTCACAACAACAAAAAAAAAAAAAAGTTTGAACCAGTGATTGTACTGCTTTATAAGCAGGCACATACATATTGTAAATATCAGTAAGATCATTCCAACAATATGTATGTATAAAATTGCAATCAAAGATTTTAAACACATTTTTTAGAACTTGCATAAATATAAAATGTTCTCATAAAATTAGACAAAATTTTCCATTTTGGGGATTTTCTGACGTCTGATGTAATAATGTTAAATAAATGGCCTGTATTTGCTTTACATAGTCCCTATGGACCCCAAAGCACTTTAGACTACATTCAGTCATCCACCCATTCACACACTGGTGATGGCAAGCTACATTGTAGCCACAGCAGCCCCGGGGCGCACTGACAGAGGCGAGGCACTGGCGCCACCGGGCCCTCTGACCACCACCAGTAGGCAACGAGTGAAATGTCTTGCCCAAGGACACAACAACCGAGACTGTCTGAGTCAGGGCTCGAACCGGCAACCTTCCGATTACAAGACGAACTGCCAACTCTTGAGCCACGATCGCCCTTAAGTATAAGTATAAAATAAGTATAAAAAGTTAAGATAGATGAATATCACCGATTTTTCAAAACATTTCAGGTTGCAAGCATTCAGAGACTTTTACAAACTGTATGATGCACTTCATGGCAGCATACATACTTGAGGAAGTATCTCTGGCCAGAGGCTGTCTTGGCCATCTCCCACCCATCTGGTAGGGGCATGTCATCAGGAATCTCATAAGAAGACTGACGAAGATGTTGAGGAGAGGCCCCTGTTGAGCCCATGCCAGACAGTGAGCCACCAGAAACAGCTCCTAACTGCAAGGAAGCAGGGGATGAGTGTGCACGGACATGGTGAGGGATGAGGACTCCGGCACTCCCAGCATCGGTGCTGGCCTGTGTTGGGGTTGAGAGACAACACAGTTAGTTTGAGTGAAAACCCTCACTTAAAAACATCAATTATCATGTAATAATTAAAAAAGGCCATATGCAAATGTAAAGACAAATCAAACATTTATGAAAGAATAAAAAAAACATGAGGCTTTGTTTGTTTCAAATACAAGTGCAATAATGGATTGAGGATGAAAAACAGAACACAGTCTTAATTTATTGACAGTGTGTACTAGTCTACATAATTTCTACCCATTTAATATTTGAGTCACTCCTTATAATTTGTAATCACTTTAAAGTGTATATAAATTCTATTCATGTGCATGTGAAGGCATGTTTTTGACTTATTCGGGTGTGGGAGGTATCCAGGGCTTGCCACCAACACGCATGCGCACTAATTACAAAAAGTCCTCAGAGTTATGGGGAGCGACCGGGAACTTGGAAGAGCTGAAAATGGAAGAAGGGATCGGGGAGGGGCTGTGGGTGAATATAGGATAATTTAACCATCATATGATTTCCTGTCAGCAAATCAAGTTGTTTTTCATAAAAAGTCGGATTGAAAATTTAAGATGATACGAACATGACGGTTATCCGTCTGCAAATAGCTATACATGAATTATTAACCAAACCATCCCTTATTATTTTTACATTGTCACTCATCTAATCACAATTTATTCTAAGCTAAGCAACATTCATCGGTTTTCTTGGTTACTTACGGCCAAAGACTGTAAGAGAATGTTTCCGCCGTTTAATAAAGCCCTCACGGCCTTTACTGTTTTAATGTTTGGTTTTTTTCTCTTTTGTTTTGTTTTTTTGCTGTGAAATGTGTTAAATGGAAATTAAATGCAGTTTGAGGGGGGGAAAACAACCCATCAATGGAAATGCACACTCATTTAAGCAGGTCAATACAAGTCCGCCTGAATAAAGTTATTATATCTTAAAGACTTAAAAAAATAATAAGTGTGTTCAAAGATGACTGACCAATAAAACAATAACGCTGAAGGCTAAAAATGGCACCAGAGAAGGATGAAGTAACTATTAACTATGTGCCAGTCACGTAGCTCTTGAAGGCCGAAACTCGACAAGATGGGCCCTGCTTTTTAGTTGTGATTTCTGAGTACGGGCACAGTAAAAACCAGGGCGGGCTTACTTGTCTGGAATGAGACTTTGGTTCTGGGGGTTTGAAGAAGGAGTCTGGCAGTTTCCTCATCCTCATGGGCACAGAGTGGGGCACGGTATTGACTTTCGGGTTCATCACAGCGTTAAAAAGCGCCTCTAGATCAGTCTCAGAGTCGCCCCGTACATGGACGATTTGGTGTCCGGCAGGAGGGTTGTGCTGGCTCGGATCCATTGTCCCAAAACAGTCTTCGAACTTTATGTCCCAAAAAAGTTAGGCTTCGGAAGTTAAAAAATAAACGTGAGCCAATCCCAAACTTTTTTTCCACGCCGGGAGAAATCTGAAAATCTCGACGACACTCAGTAAAAGTTATTCGGAGTCATTCTAAACTTTACAAGTCGAGCACTTGATATTCTTCCAAAGTGTGTTAGCTGTCGAAATCTGCAATGAAAGACAGCCTTTTCCTGTTTTTTCCTGCTGGCATACTTGTTAACGTAACAAAGCGCATAAACTCCACATTGGAATTTATGCTCTCGTCCCCCCAAAAAACGCAGATGCAGCCACAAAAGACGAAAAAACACCACAAACGGTTGAGTGAAAGAGTCCAACTTTTTCTGAGTGTCGGGCCAAGTCCAAGCTGTTGTTGATATTCTTTTAAGCAAGGCTCATAGTGAGCGGTACAAATCTCCGCAGCTCACTTTCTAGAAAAAAAAAAAAAGTTTAGCCCCAGTCGGATCTAAACTTTGGAGAGGACATCAAACTTTATGACGCCAGTGACGTAATCACCAATAGGGCGGGACTTACGGCTCCGATTGGGACAAGAGCGTTTAAAGGTAGACTGGAAAAGCCAAGCCCTTTATTAGCGGGCACCTTCCCCAATTAAACATAGTGTGAAATTAAAAGTAAAAGATTATGTACCAAAAGATACATTTTTAATAAGACATGTCACAACTTTTTAACGTTAACATCTACTTATTCCGACAGCAAATGGAATTGTAATATCCTTTACAGTTTATGTAATCTTCGACCGGACAATCTGGGCAAGACCTTATGAGTTATGGTCTCCATTTATGGCCCATTTGCTAGCCCAAATCTGGATGCCTTGTAGAAAAAAACACTACTACATAGGAAGTTTCATTAAACTAACTTGCAGATGCACTGAAAATATATACACACAGATGAACACAGGGTAACCAAATTAAACTCAAATTTGATGCTATAAAGTGACATTTTCTTGTACAAGTTTGTACATGTTTTTTTTAAGTTACCAAAGTTTTTCTAGTGTAAAAACAAGAAAATAAAGGACCAAAAAGAAAACGAAAATCAAATTCATATTGAACTAAAGCTCATAAAAACTTACAATAAAGTGCATTTGCAAACGGAAAATCTGACTAAAGTAACACTGGCAGATCACATTTTTCTTTGCAGGATTAATTTAAAACATTATGACAAAATATAGATAAACACTTTCCCAAGAATCTGAGCAAAGATAAGAAAAGAAAAAAAAACTATCATCACTATGTGTAATAGTACAGTTTTGTCTCTCTCTCACTCTCTTTTTTTGTTACAGTGCTTATGAAAAGTAGACCCATGCAGTTCCCACAATTGTTATGCTAATGCAGCCCCTCTCCCATTGAGAAATCATTTTGTCAAGATCCACCCTCTTTGGATATCGAGGCTCTGTTTCAGCTTTTCCCATACATCCATGAATGCATCATTATGAAGATCTATTAAATATCCACAGACACTGTAAACCTCCTTAACAGACTGAGAGTCACACTCAACCCACATGCTTTTGGACAGATAATACTTTTTAACAATGCTGCACCTTCAAAATCTTAGAAACATTTAACATCGCTGTAATCCACCATACTGGTAGGAATTCATGTTTGTCCTGCTAAACTTTGATGTGTCTAATAAATGATTAGTAAAATGCTGACAGTGAGAGAACTTTTAATATTTGTGAAATACTTGATTATTGTTTTAAAAGTTGCTCTAATTTGATGAATGAAGGAAACAGTCTTTGCACACATGCTGCCAGTCAAAAAAAAAATGTCCATTGTTTCAATGAAAGTGGCCATTTTCACATCATTGTAACGCAGTCAGACACATTAAAGAGATGGACTGCAGTGTCCCGGCAGCGCCGAGAGGACCACCCACCACGCTGAGTTTGGTCACTTTTTGTAAGCCTTCCATCCTCCTCACTGCTCTCGATTGGATATTACTAGAAACGATTATATGGCCGCTATAAAGCAGAATCAACCTGTGATCGAAAGTGTAGCTGTATGAGTCCACTTTGTGTAAAGCGCTTTGCTCTTCTGTTTGGCTATTACAGATATGTTGACACACTGTTGCTACAGTCAAGTGAGTAGAAGGCTCGCACGCCCCCTGCAGTGTACAATCGGTATTTATCCCAATAAACAAACTATTGCAGTGTCTATCCCTTCCTTTCTGACTTCCTTTAAACATGAACAAACCACGTACAACTATGTTATTGCCTACAATCTTTCAGATTTATGCATAAATCTTAGCTATCACTCATTTTCTGAGCATTAAAACCATTGTTATCATTACAAATTTGATCTAAACACGTAAAACACAATTTCCAACCTTCCATCCATGTGCATATTGTCTTATTACAAAAGATATTCAGATTTTTTTTAAAGTCAAGGTTTGTTTCGGTCATTTTTTGTTGCATGCAATATTGCTTTTCCAGACACTCAATCATTGCATGTTAAATGGACTGTAACAAAAGAAGACAAAATACTTGACAGCTTAAGCTTCACAACAGACCAAAGCACAAGCTTGAACTTGCATCTGTGAAAATGTCTCCCCTTATTTTCAGCACTCTTGCCTTTTCTTGTTCAGTTTCTGGGTGTTGTGCTGGTTAAGGCTTAAAGCTCATTACACTCACCATTGTATAGCATAATGGCTGTAAACAATAATGGTGCCAGGCCAAACGGAACTGATTTCAGGGCAAACCTACAGCAGAATATTCAGAATTTCAGTGATTTATCTGAACACGAACACTTATTCTACATGATTGTGTTTATTTGTGTGCACGCTTATGTTGTTTTTTTCCCCCCTTTTTTATTGGGGCAGTCTAAGTATCATTACTAGACAGTTTCTTGTTAATAGGTAGGACTCAAATATGTTAAATATCAGCATCAGTTCAGATAAAAGTAGTTTTCTTCTCTTTATAATCGTCTCATGCACACTGGGTAGAAATAACACTGACGCTCATTGTCAATTAACCACATTGGACAGTTTGTATGTTTTACTGGAGAATCTCTTCAAATGTAACGAGTCAAAGTGCATCTGCTGTTGTGGGCATAATCATATGCTAAAAATGAATACATTGTTTCCCTCTGTTGCTGTTCTCAGTTTTGGTGTAAGCTAACAAGGAGGTGATGCACGACTCGATGTGGCAATGAGACACCATTGTCACATTACCGTTTATAGCTCCTTCTTGGAGCACCAAAGAAACCTGCAGTTAAGCTATAAAAAAAGTCCCATCATTGTTCAGATGAGCTTGGGCTTCCTTCAGCTCTTGGAACAAGTCCTAGCAGGCTGACAGAGGGACAAACCCAGACACGCCAGAGAAGGAGGGGCAGCTCACATCAATAATCCCTACAGCGTCTTCCCCCAATGAACCTATTGTTTGCCAAGGAAGACAGAGAAGTTTTTAATTAAATACACTTTAAACAACAACTAGTATCAAATAATAGCATGCTTTGTCTTTTGATGTTACTATAGATTGAGGGCAATATTAAATAAATTAAGCCTTAAAGCAAAAATAAAATTCAGCATAGGTGCAATCTGAAGAAAAACCTGCAGAAACCTCGCTGTAGAGGCTCGGCTTGTTAAGCCAGTAGGTTGAGTCCAGTAGCCATAATCATCTTTTCCACAGCCATAAAAGAAAGACAAACACACCTTCAACGCTGCAAAACATTTCATAAACCATTTCCAGGCCTCGGTCAATTCACTGATTGTAACACTGCCAAACACAGAGTTTATCAGCAAACTGTCAACAACATTTATTCAGTTCACTGCTGAACTGCTGCAAAACAGTCCACCAAGTCATAGTGTTACTATGCAAAATAAATACAGAATGGTACACCTTTAAACATTTAACATATACAATTTGATAGTGTTTGTATATTTTGCAGTCAGGGCTGGTCATGTATTGATTGAAACAAGAGCATCTTTGCATTTTGTAACATAAAACAGATTAAAGCCTTTCTCATTTAAATAGGCACTTCAGACTTAGATTGCTTGATAGTCAGTAGCTTAAGTGTGCTCTAAGGCTGCTGATATGTCTTTTTTTGTCTTTGCAATTCAAGGCTGTTTATATTTCAGATCCTTAGTTACTTAAAAAGACACAATTCCTTGTTTTGTAATAAGTGCTTGTTTCAACAACATGCTTCAGCATAAAGTGCACCGACGAGGGCTCAAGACTGCTGTGGCGAACACAAGCTTCAAGTCAGGACTTCTGGTGGTATCGAGAGTGATTGTTAGCCGAGGATCCACAGTGTTTGTTATGGTTTGATGCTTTCACTTCTCTTGTCTGAAAATGGAGACAGAAGTTAAGAAATGAATTATCTTCAACAAAGTCACCCTTTCTGTTGAGGAAAGAAATAAATCCCTGCTAAACACTTACATAGGGTGCATCACTAAGTACAAGACCATGCATGCTAGTATTGCCCCCAACACGCTCCTGCACACCTGCAAATAGTAACAGGTTGGCGTGGTTACGCTGCACCGACATCATGTTGATACTCTTCTGTTATACACAGGTCAGAAAAATTCTGGCCTGATTTTAACGGCCTTCACAAAGTGCTTACATTGAAGCTGGTGGTTGAGTCGATCCAGACAAAGCAGAATTTTCTTCTCCTCCAAGGAAATGCTGGTGAGCTCCTGCTGTTGGCTGTACTGGTCTACTGTTCCAGATGTCTGTGTTTGGACTGTCTCCATGGCAGCCACTATACCCTTTTCTTCCAGATGGCCTTTAGCATGCACTTCAGCGAGGTGTAACTGGGCTGCACTCTCAAAATCTGAGATTACATTAAAGGCAGACACTCTCACCTTATTAATGCATGATGCAGCTGTCCTATCAGATTTCTAAATTCCTATATCCCTGTTTTTTTTAAGTTACATTATATATATTTCCTAAAACTAAAAAACAAAAAAGAAAATGTTAAGAAAGCTCTTATAAAGCATAAGACATGACAGAAGAGTAACTTTTTTTTAAACTAATACATTCAACATTTGCTTGAATTATGAAATAAATGTAAACACAAACAGAGAACATAATACCTTCATTTGGAAAGGCTGAGTTGTAAGTGCTTGGTAATGTTCTGAGCAGCTTTGCTGTTTGCTTTGTTTGCTGCAAAAAACAACACACACTCACAACACATGAACTGTCACTAAGTCAACATCAGTTATTAGCTTTTTACTAACTGCTCGTTGTTATTGTTCCCTTTGTCTGGGAAGCTTAAGACAAAGATTTCTATTCTATTTTATTCTGTTAGTCTGACCTACAATTAATGATGAATTAAGTCTTATTTTATTTGTGATGACAAAAAAAATGTATCGTTAACTCATGTCTATCCCTAACGCTTGTCTTTGGCACCATTAATTATTAAATTAACACTTTGGACAGCATAAAAGGAACAGCAAAACAAGTTCAAACACACCCACTTACTGATCTTTACCAACTACTCTCACACCTCCCACAGGGCAACTACGCAACTGCACGCATGTACCTGAGAGATCTGATGAAGTCTTCTATTCTCTGAGCCAGGAGCCTGTCTGCCTTTCTCTGTACAGGGCTTCCTTAAGACTCGCCCTCTCTCCAGGGCTGGTGCTTTCAGTATCAGTTTTGCTGAAAGAAAACATATGCACCGGTATCATAACTACAAGAACAAGCATATTCCAGACTGTGCTGTCTGGAACACCATGTAAAATTTGTTTTTAAAGTTTAAAAAAGCAGTTGGATGTTTTGAAGCACAGCCTATTACTACAAATAATAAAAAAGTGGAATAATGATTAAAAATAGTCATAAAAACTCACAAATGTCATGCAGATTATTTTCTGCATACTTGTACTATTGAACACAGTCAAACAGCATCCTGGGACTGGATTAGCATTAAAGATTGTTCCTCTTTACGCTCAAAGTACTGTAGCTACTACTTACATTATAAAATGTAAAATATGAATTTGAACAGGTAGAAAAAAAACCCCTTAAATTTCTGGAGGCACTCAAATTAACCCTAAGCCGTGTGTAGGGCTGTCAGCTAAAATATACATTACCATCCTTTGTCATTAAGGCACTGCGGACGCCATGCCAGAGCTGTGAAATTTCTTCATCTGTGGGAGTACAATCTAAACAGAAGTCTTTTTCATTACATGCATTCTCCCCCCTTCTTCTGTAGTGGTGAGTGTCCTGATGACTTGAACTGGGCATGCTCGTCACAATGCCCTCTGAAAGTGGGGAGGCGTATGACGGTGGCAGTGGTGTGTCTAAAACAGTATTTTCTGTTGTTATTTCTTTATGCGTTTTAGCTGAGCAATGGCCCTCTGAGTTATTCTTGTTCAGGACCTGCTCAACAGCCATGGCCCGTTTGTTGATGGCGCTCGCGTGATCCCTGCCATATGGAATTGTGGTGATGCACGGCGTCTTTTCCTCCGCAGATTCCATCCGAGGAGGTGGACGTGGCACCATGACCTTCCCTTGGGTTTTGGCAATCTGACTAACCTCGGTGGCAGACTGAGGTCGTATGACCGTGCCCTTTCTTGTTCGTGAGGAAACAGGACCCGCTCTGCCAAAGTGCTCTTTCCGAGGGACCTTGGGGGCACTGGCTCTGATGCCGTTGCGGTGTACCTTGACCTCATCGGTTTGTTGCTGGGGCAAGTTGACTTGAACATCTGCCCAAGCTTCTTTTGTAAACTGATAACCAGTGGAGGCTGCAGGGGTCATGCCGGGTCCAGTCTTGGGAGTCCCTGAGAACGCACTAAGGCTTAGCTGGTGGTCGTTCGAGTTGTTTTTTGGTTGACAGAGATTGAAGGATTTGCCTTTCATTTTGTTCTGTTTATCTTTCTCTTTTTCCACATGCACTTCATCAAACCAACGCAGCTTCTTTTTGACAGTGTCATTGCCCTCCAGGTCCCTTGTTTTTCTCCGTGCTAATTCAACACTATCCCTGATCGCTAAAGCTACTTGTTTTGCAAAAATCAAATTCCCTGAGCCGTACACACAAGTGGAATCCATGTATTTGGACTGCTTTTTAAGAATTCCCTTACTATATCTGACCTCACATACCGAATCAGACGTCTCTATTGACAAAGGTATTTTCTCGACTTCCTTCTCAGGACATTCAAGACACTTGTACGTATCTGACTGAATATTAGACAAGCAGGTATGCTCCATGGATTTTGTATTTATTGGCTTCTTAGTATTGGAGTCTGAGTTTGTAACCTTATTGAGATTGTTTGTAGAAGCACTGCATTCTTTGTGAGATGACAGAGCGCTGTTTTCTTTTCCTGTTTGCTGAAGAGCGCTTTCTCTTGACAAATTGTCTGTTGTACTGTTGTACAAAAAAATATTTGGCTTTGGGGGATCCCCAAACAAAATGTCTTTGCTGTTGCTATTTTTGGCAAGCAAAGGAATTTCTGTAGTTGGATATTTTAATTGTCTGTCATCTTGGATCCTCTCCTGTTTGGGAGCCAAGAGGCCCTCTTGTTTAGGATAGGAAGAATCGAGTGCTGCGTTGCCAAGAGCAGCTATATTTGCAATAATGATGTTGCCACCGGGGCTGTTCTGTCGAGTTTTCATCTCATAGGGCTCTAGGTCAGCACTAACATTTTCACTATGAGCTGATAAATTACAGTTGTTCAGAGCAGGCTGGATCTCTGTCTTAAGTCTTTGTTCAATAGATGTGAATTCCCACGAGGCTTTAGAAACATTTATCTTATTATTACACCATCCAGATTCATCTAGTTTTTTCTGGTTTGGTTCATGCCGCTTATTTGCTTGGACTAAGTTATCACCGAGAAGCATCATCGCTGAGAGGTCTGATGTTTGATGACACAAGTCATTTTGCTTTCTTAGGTCTTGATGGGTCCTCTCTGTGCCAAGCAAGAGTGATGAATAGGAACTCTGCAGAGTTTTTGTGAGGTGGTTGAAATCCTCATTTTCCAAACTATCCTTACTTGAAAGGCTCTCAGAAAGACAAGAATCAGACAGGTGGCTACCCTGGAAAATGGAAGCAGAGAGGAGTTGATAAGTGGAAAATAATATATTTTACAACTGTACAGGCATGCCTGTTGCTTATCAGTGCTTACAAGGACCTCCCCTGCGTCCTTGCCACTGATCTCTTTTTTTTTTCACAAAATGAAAATGAAGACTGTTATAAATAATATACATTCTGAAACAGCTATTAATATACACACATTGCACTAGAGGGTGCTACAGTTTGTAGCATCCACAGGGACTGTTACTGCAGGAAAAGGTTTGTTACAATGCTGCCACCTAGTGGAATCCCCCCAAGATTGATTCTGTTCATCTGGACGTTGTCAGTGGGAGAAACGTTTCAACACTCATCCAAGTGACGTCTTCAGTCTCAGGTGACTGAGGTAGGTTTCCCCAATATTATAAACAGCCCATTATTCGTTCAGTCGTGCTAGTATATATATATATAAAAAAATCCATCCATCCATCCATTCGCTTCCACTTATCCTTTTCAGGGTCGCGGGGGGCGCTGGAGCCTATCCCAGCTGTCATAATGCGAGAGGCAGGGTACACCCTGGACAGGTCGCCAGTCTGTCGCAGGGCCAACACACAGGGACAGACAACCATTCACACTCACATTCATACCTAGTGACAATTTGAATTATCCAATTAACCTATCCCCACAAGCTGCATGTCTTTGGATGGTGGGAGGAAGCCGGAGTACCCGGAGAGAACCCACGCAAACACGGGGAGAACATGCAAACTCCACACAGAAAGAAAAATGAAAAACAAAATCATCATAAATCTGGTCCTTACCAGGTTCTACAATTATTTAAATACGGCATTACAACACATGGCATATTACCCTCTGTCTTTATTTAATTACTAAAAATATAGCCAAAATGGGTGTACCCCGCCTCTCGCCCTATGACAGCTGGGATAGGCTCCAGCGCCCCCCGCGACCCTGAAAAGGATAAGCGGAAGCGAATGGATGGATGGATGGATAGCCAAAATGTAGAAGCAGTACAAGCAGTAAGTACAGCCTCAGAGCTTCCACAGCAATTAAGCGCCGACTGAAAGAAACTGTGGCCTCGAAAAAAGCAGAAGGGCTGTCACACTAAAGTTTTGTTTCCTGCACATTGAAATGAAAAAAACAAAACAAACAAAAACAAAATACCTGTGGACTGTGATCGTGCTCGCTCTCTATTCTGCTCTGTTCCAGGAGGAGTTTTGTGTAGGCCTCCACAGCAGAAAGCGCTTGGCGGTGGGAGGATTTAGAAACTGTGGGTGGCTTAGGAGATGGGGAGCAGCTTCTTTAAAAGAGAAAGGAGAATATAAATAAGCAGTGACTGGCTATTTTTGGTATGCAGTAAGATAATGGTTGAAGTTTAAATCTGCTTCTTTTTTACCCATTAACGTTTATATTGCTGGACAAGAAAGAGGACTGCCGAGTGTGCGAATTCAAGGTGCCTTGAATTTGATGGAGTGCATCTTCAATATTTGCAACATTTCTTTTAAAAGCTATGAGACACAAAGGAAAACATACAAATAAACCAAAATATGTCAAGACTGTTGAGTGAAATAGAGGGTGGTACGTGTTAAGGAGCTGAAACTCCCAAACCCTTCATCCAACTTGAATGTGAATACCCTCAAATGAAAGCTGAGAGTCTACTCATTCCGTCCATGTCCATTATAAAACTATAACTGGAATATTTTTCAGTAAACAGGTAAAGAACAAATCTTGTGTCAGTGTCCAAATATATATGGAGCTAACTGTATAATCTACTAACATTGTCGGCGCCTCTCAGAAGGGGGTAAATGTGCTCTTTGGAAACGCTCAGTTGCGTCCTGTACTTGCAGTCTGCGTTGCTGGAGGATGCGGTCTCTTAGGCATTGCTCCTGCACATCCCACTGCTTCCGTCTTTCATCCAAAGCCCTGAGCCATGAAAAAGGGAAGAGCATGAACCTAGGGCACATTTTAATTTACTAAATCTAGTCTGGGCTAAACAGAAACCTGAGTCCCTGCCTAGAGATATGTTTTCAGCAGAGCCATTAATAAATTAAAGACACCATTCACTCCTGGGTTCACTGGTGAAGCCAGTAATAGTGTAAATAAAATTCCACTTTGTTTTCTTTTTTAAATGTCAGAAGCAGTAGTGTATTAAATAGCCATGAGAAGTACCTCTATCTACTGTATTTACAAAGGCCTATAGTAGCTGAAAATTCATTTTTGAAAATGTGTCATTAAACTATACATGAACTGGAGTTACACCTGTCCTTTAAATGTGCAACATTGTGCCTAATTATGCTGCCTTTTTTACGTGTGAAAAATCATGTTAAAGATTGCAATTCTGCTGTCTAAAAATAAAACTGAAATGTATTACTGTAAGTGAAGATATAGTATTTCATGCAATCTATGTAATGTTTATCCAGTTTAATTTGCCCCTCCATTAAAGGAACAAATCTAATTTGTGGGGTTCCTCTTGTTCTTGGGTTACGCCTTGTTCTGATGTTATGCAATAAGCCTGACCATTGCCTACAGCCATCCTTGCTATAACATGCTTTTAGTGCACTAGGTTTAAAAACAGGACCTCTCAGAGTCAGGTCCCAATTATGGAAACACATATTTAGAAGGTGCAAGGGATCTGAACCTCATCGGGATAAACTTTGCAGCTTTAAGAATTCAAAGAAGTCAAGCTTTAATCACCTCTCTGGAAACATAGATCTATTTCCAGGTCTACATTGTGAAATCCTGTCTGCACAGTTGATCCTATAAAGTATCAAAGTCAAGGACAGAACCAGAGGCCCATTCTGAACACCAGCAAAGCACAGCCTACTTTGCTGAAATTAAATGGGCTGCACATATTTCTCTAAATGGGTATGGGAGCGTTATAGATTATAGGTTATAGAAATCGGACAGAAGTGTGTTGTTTAGATGAAACTTTGCTGTTAGTCCAACAATAAAAATAATATATATTCATTTGACAACTGACTTCCTGCGTCGGTTGGTTTCCAGGGAGAATTTGCGTGCTCGGGATTTGCATATCTTCTGCTCTTCAACCAAAAGCTGTCTCTCCTTCTCGAGACTTGCATGATCTCTCAACCTCGAATATCTGGTAGTCATCAGCTGAGGAGAGCAGTTGTTGATGGTAGTCAGAGGATATGTGTCGCGTAAAAGTAATAATCAGTAATGATTAAGTTCTCGTGAATTATACAAGCAGGTCGAATAAAGTTTCACGTTGGGTCATTACCGAACTCTACATTTGTTTTTAAAACGAGCGTGGGTGCACGACACACATTTCTATAACACAAATAACTTCATGCATGTAGGATACGAATGGTAGAAGAAGTGATCTTGAAGAACTTGCATCCTCTGAGGCTGCTGATCTTCGCTGACACCGAGCAGACGTACAGGTTCAATCGGCTAGCAGCTGCTAACTTGTCCTTTTTAGCTAACGTCGGCAGTACGCCGGATTAAGTCACTCAACCATTTTCAGGGCGAAGTGAAACTTGTAGCGTAAATTTCCACATCGTTGCGACCTCCCCTGACCAGTAACAGCCTCATTGCCTTGTGTAAAAGAGTGAGAACAAAAATCCGAATAAGTTGATACGTCCACAGCCGTGTTTGTGTACGCTTGCTCCATGATAGCGACCGAGGACGCGACTCCTTAGCAACCAAGAGAGGTGATTGTTTCTCTTATGTCCAGCAGAGGGCGCAGGACTCCTCCAGACGTGCATGTCGCCTTCAGGCACATTTGGAAATTAAAGGTATCCACATTTTAATGTTAAAAACTTTCTGTGGTATAGTTAAAATGTTTTTACTCAGCTTTTATATCTACTCGTAGAGGAGGACTTGTAAAATACGAGGATGGGCTGGTATTACCTTTTATCTTTAATAAAAACAGAAGTTAAGAGGATTATTGAAAATCTGCTTTTTCCAGATTGTGTATGCCATTTTATGGACGAGTGGGCCGCTGCTTTATCTCTTACTTTGTCAAACACTGTATATGGGTATAGTGATGATATTGCTGCTATCCTGCACTCGGGTAATTACATATAATCCCTTTGCCCTCGGCTACAGTTTAAGTCACAACCTGTTATGCTGGAGCGATTCTGCTGATCCAAAGTCCCAGTTTGTCAAAGTGCTTTAATATCTTGCTTTAGGGGGCTTACGGGAAGATTGATTGAAAATAAAGTAAATAATAGATAAATATAATACCCACACCAATACCCATATTTCAAAGGAAATTCTAAAGGAAAAACGCCCTTTGGGCGTGCAAATGCAGCACTGTAAGCTTCAAGAGTCAACACTGGACGCAGGGTTAGAGCCACTCTGACAGAAGGTCCAGAGGCTACAGGATGAGCTCGATGACCGAAGTAGATTTGGGTCATAAAGATTAAACAATTAATAAATCATCTGATGGAGCAGTATTTCCCAAGGTTAGTGAAGCGCGTGTTTTTTTCCCTTTAAATCTCTCTCTCTCTCTACATATATATATATGACAGATAATGATATTGTTATATTTCCATAATATCGATGTTATTGCTACTTTTACGATGCTACAGAAATCTGTCATTTCATTTGTTTTCTCCATCTAGCTCTTTAGATGATATAGGAAGGGAAACAAAGTTCACCAGAAAATATGTTTCAAATATTATTTTGATCTTCACTTATTAAATCCTTATTTAAACCACTTCGGTTTAAATAAGGATTTTTTCACCTTCCCTGGCCTAACAGCAGGATACATATTCAGTTTATATTGTATTCGCAAATATAAACGATCTGCCCCTCTATCAGAACAAATTCTGCATGTATTGCATGCATTTAACGGATTGCTCAGTTACTGCAAAATATGGTTACTAATGTCACTAATTATGACTGAATACACTGGACATCGTCAACTTCTGTCATCATGGTGGTTATTTGTGCTGAAGCAATTGGCTCCTCAGATAACCTTGTTATTCAAATGTAATTAGTGAGCAGAAAGTTGATTTTCTCTTTTAAAAATGGCGATTTAATTAGCAATAAAAATAGTCACTGTCATCAGGTATGACCTCAGCTTAATGTCTGTGGTTAAGACGTAACACGTTCTAAGTTTTCCATGATCAGCAAGTGGTGTTATGTATAGTCTATTTTGGATTATTCAACAGTAACTAAATTAAAAAGACATGTGAATCCAGCAGAGGCTGAATGATCAGTGTCCTCCCATGAAATGAAGGAGAGCAGATGATGAATCTGTGGGTGGTGTCACACATTTAGTGTGAGTTATAAATCAGCAGAGACCCACTGTGCACACTGTTGTTCAGTCACTGGTTGGATCACTGCTGTCTCATTGTCCAGCCCTTTTTGTGATATAAGGTAAAAATTATCCTTTAAAGCAATAGAATATTTGTTTATCTTCCTCGAGAGAAATTATTAATCTTACCTTAGCAAAGGAGGGATTACCAGCTGAAAAGGTAGGTCTATTTTGGCTTACAGAAATAATTTTACAAACCTAAAATGTGATTGTAGCCCTGTGTTAAAGATCATATGACTAAATACACTTACCTGTTTTTAGATGGAGCAATGAAGAGAAAGCCACGATGCTAAGACAAATTGTGGTCAAACCCCGGAGACAAGCTTTTTGGGGGGCCGGTTACCCATTTCATCCTCACTCTTCCTCTTGCCTTTCTATGAAGGAGGAAGTTTTTTTAGAAGCTGCAGAATATGGCAATATCCCTGAAGTGAGGCGGATGTTGGAAGAGCTGCCAGAGCTCAATGTTAACTGTGTCAACTACATGGGACAGAATGCACTGCAGCTGGCTGTTGCCAATGAGCATCTAGAACTTACCAGACTTCTTCTAAAGAAGAAAGACCTCGCCAGAATAGGAGATGCTTTGCTGTTAGCCATCAGTAAAGGTTACATTCGCATAGTAGAGGCCATACTGAACCACGAGGCTTTTGCAGACAGTCAAAGGCTGACTAACAGCCCCAGCCAGGCAGAGATGCATGATGACTTTTTCTCCTATGATGAGGATGGGACACGGTTCTCTCATGACATCACTCCCATCATTCTGGCTTGCCAGTGCCAAGAGTATGAAATAGTGCATATACTTCTTCTTAAGGGAGCCAGGATAGAACGACCCCATGACTACTACTGTCAGTGCAAGACCTGTAGTGAGCAGCGGAGGCATGACTCTTTCAGCCATTCACAGTCCCGCATCAATGCATATAAAGGTCTAGCCAGCCCGGCATATCTCTGTCTCTCCAGTGAAGATCCTGTGATGGCAGCGCTGGAACTGAGCAATGAGCTTGCAGTTCTGGCCAACACTGAGAAAGAGTTCAAGGTACAGTAATTACAGTGTTCACTCAGGATGCATATTGATGTTTTTGCCAGTCTGTTTATGTGCTTCACTCATTCACAGTGCATATGCTGCTGTTCTCTGTTACAGAATGAATATAAGAACCTGTCCATGCAGTGTAAAGACTTTGTGGTGGGGCTCCTGGATTTGTGTCGAAACACAGAGGAAGTGGAGGCTATTTTAAATGGGGACAAAGAATCATATCGTAGCTCAGACACCACGAACAGACAAAACCTGATTAGGTTAAAACTTGCGATAAAATATGAGGTTAAGAAGGTAAGCACATGAGCACTCTTTAGCTTTTTTTTTTTTTTTTTAAATCAATCTTGCTTCCTTCATCAACCTCATGTTTGAATATGTAAAGTGTGTAAAGTAATCCTTTTCTCTTCCTGTCTCTGTCTGTCTGTCTTTGTCTTGCATGAACACACACATGCACACACGCAAACAACATATACCTTTAAACTCAAATGAGGCAGTTTGTGGCACATCCAAACTGCCAACAGCAACTCCTTTCCATCTGGTATGAAAACCTATCTCGACTCCACCAGCAAACAACAGCAGTTAAGATTCTTCTTGTTCTCGGTGTAGCTCTTGGGTTGCCTATACTGGCTTTTATTTACTGGATAGCACCATCAAGTAAGGTTAGTTTACAAAAAAAGTTGCACATAACCTAATAACCTGCCATACAAATGTTGCATTATGCCTGCTGAACTTTAAATTGCCAAATTCTGGTAACAAGTTACAAAGCTGTAATGTAGGATTGCGCTGACTTTTTTAGTTTCCTGTGAAGTTTTTCTCATCATCAATGTTTCAGTTTTTATGACTGGCTTAAGCACTGCCATGTATCTTTTGATGTATAAAATATATCACTGAAATATGTAAAAAAAAAAAAAAGTGATTTTAGGTTTTGTTCTGTTTGTTGTCTCTCGCTTCAGTTTGGGAAACTTATGGGCGGCCCTTTCCTGAAGTTTGTGGCGCATGCAGCTTCCTTCATGATATTTCTTTGCCTACTGGTCCTGAATGCAGCAGACCGCTTTGAGGGAACTTCACTGCTGCCCAACATGACCATCCATGATTACCCTTCACAGCTTTTTCGTATGAAGACCACGCCCTTCACCTGGATGGAAATTCTCATCATATCTTGGGTCATAGGTCATAAGCGTAAACACACTTTGTCCCTCACCAATATACTTATGGATTTCTCATTATTTTAGTCAGGGTCCTCATAATATTACACTGCTGTGCATGTCAGGGTAAAAACATCAAAATCATTCAAGATTTATTAATCTTCACACATCTGCTATGATACAAATTGCCCACATTCACCAAGAAAATCTCAAACTACAGACCAGACTTTGAAGCCATGTCAAACATGATTTACCAGTAACAGCAATAAAAATTCCTATGGGATGTAAATACTATCCAAATCTTAGTAATACTGTTTGTACATGATAAGATTTTATTACACTATTTCATATAAGAGAGCAAAAATGGGACTGCCAATCACTTTTTTTTTTCTCCACAGGGAAGATCTGGGAAGAATGTAACAACATTTGGTCCCAGGACATCCGGGAGTACATATCAGAACCCTGGAACCTTCTAGACTTTAGCATCCTCACCATTTTTATGACGTCTTTCACTGCCAGATTAATGGCTTTTTGGCATGCATATTCAGCCCAGTGTTATATTGACAAGCACCATACTAGCCTGTCCAACATGACGTTGCCCTTTGAAATACAGTATTTCCAGCTTGGTAAGTGTAGACCAAAAAAATTCAAGTGTTGTTGGTATTATGGGTAAGGATTCAATATTTGTTTACATTGTTAAAATAAAAGGTTGCTGGTCTTAGATTTAATTTTGTTCTAATGTTGCACTGGACAAAGAGACAAACAAACTTTTAGGTGTTATCTTCATAGCCCAATTAATTTTTTTAATTCATCATTAAAATACCAATAAAATGATCTTTATTGGTATTTGATTTATAAATCTTAACACTAATAATATTAACAGAGACAAAGTTTAGATCATAAAACCTGTTCTTACATGCAGCATCTCTCTCTCTCTCTTTTTTCCTAGCTCGAATCCACTGGATGCCCTCAGACCCGCAGCTTATTTCCGAAGGCCTTTACGCAATTGCCGTTGTGCTTAGTTTCTCCCGCATTGCGTACATCCTGCCCGCCAACGAGCGCTTCGGGCCTTTGCAGATCTCTCTGGGAAGGACGGTGAAAGACATATTTAAATTCATGGTGGTGTTCGTAACAGTGTTTGTGGCTTTCATGGTAGGAATGTTCAATCTGTACTCATACTACCTTGGAGCCAAACACAACGATGCCTTTACAACGTAAGTGTCAAACGACTTCAAAAACGCAGTTTTTAGAAAAATATGATCAAATGTTTCCTTTACACACAAAACTTGTCTAATAAATATGGCACAATGGTTGAACTATACTAAATTCTGATTTCTGTATTACTCCAGGCTTGAAGAGAGTTTTAAAACATTATTTTGGGCCATCTTTGGGCTGTCAGAAGTGAAATCAGTGGTGATTGACATCAACCATAAGTTCATTGAGAATGTAGGCTACGTTCTGTACGGGGTGTACAACATCATCATGGTGGTCGTCTTGCTGAATATGCTCATTGCTATGTTTAACAGCTCTTTCCAAGAAATTGAGGTACAACTTCATCACTGATATTTCTAATTTAGAACTGATTTGACTGGTACTGTATCTTAAGCCCGATTGCCAAATTTATCAGCGTTTTAAATTTCCATCTTTTTTTGTTTTTGTTTTTTTTGCTGCAGGATGATGCAGATGTCGAGTGGAAATTTGCAAGAGCTAAACTCTGGTTCTCTTACTTTGACCATAGTGGCACACTGCCTGTGCCCTTCAATCTTGTGCCCTGCCCAAAATCAGTATCTTGTCTATTGCTGAGTATAAAGGATTTCATCTGGAATGTACCTCCCGGCAGACACACAAAAAAATCACGCAATGAGATGGAGCTTAACAATGTGAGGCACCACCAGTGTCGTTTGATGAAACAACATTTTAATCAAGGAATTTTCAATTTTGTTGAATGTACTAGTTGGAATATATATCATCTCAGCGGGTCTACAGGGCCTTCTTTTGTCACATTAATAGGTACAGCTTGGGGTTGTAAGTACCTATGTTAACACCTTCTTCTTTTGGTTGTTTTTGTCTTAGTTAAGACGACAGGACGATCTGGCTGGGGAAACATCTCTTTGTCCAACCCGTCATCAAGTAAAGCTTTTTAAATCTCCAATAACTGCTTAATAAAGGAGCTTTCAGTAAATTGTCTTTCCTGATAAAGGTTTTGCATACATAAACAAGTGCACATAAAAAGTGCAAAGTTTGTCATTTATTTTGGTGTCATCTATGGAATCATACCTATGAAACAGTATAAGGCATAAAATAAATTTGCTGTATATACACATAAGGACCCATAACATGTCAGTCCAAATAGTCCAAATTGTGTCTTGTGTGAGGGAAATAATTAGCAGAGCAGAATAAAACTATAATCATGACTTTGTTACTTTATTACAGAAAATAATGAATTGTCTCATTAAAAGATACATCTTAAAAGCACAGAGGGATAAAGATAACAATGAAGTGAATGAAGGTAAGTTCTTCTGAGCTACTTTTCATGCTAGGATCACATAAAAAACACAATTTTATCCTTTTCACTTGCTGTTCCTCAGGTGAACTGAAAGAGATCAAACATGACATCTCCAGTCTTCGCTTTGAGCTCCTGGAAAGGGAGAAGCACGATAAGAAGACACTAACAGAGCTCATGAGGCAGCTGGAAGAAGTAATGCATGCGAAGCAGAAAGAAGAGCAGAAGCATACACTGGATATGGTTTCTTAAAAACAATAAAGATTAGAAATGTATTTACTGGACACACTCCATCGTTCTCATTAATGAGGGATTCAGTCAAGGCCAAATGTTTCTGTGACACAGACTTAACACACAACTTTCAGACACAACTTAGCTGATAAAACTACATATTTTGTATTCATTATAAAAAAAAAAAATTCCTCCATTTTCTCCATTGTGTAAACTTATTAATTTGTTTGTCTTTTGATTTTTTTCCGTGCCTGTGTCTGAACAGTTTGCTTATTGCTACAATAAAGGAACTGTAATGTAACTTTTCCTGTTGCTTTGACTAGGCTACAGTTCTGAGTTGACTGCTGTCATCTGCATGATTTGTTTTGGAGGTAATTCACCTGGTGCTGAAAACCAGAAAGCGGTTCAGATAAAACAGAAAGATATGTTTGATTGTCTCAGTCGCAACACTCAATTAAGCTTCTTTCTGATAACTGCGCTCAGTGTAGCTGGGGGAAAGTAGTTACTTTTTCTTTAATGTAACTTCAGTTAATCAATACAACACCAGGCTTGATGTTCAAAACTCTATAAAACTTTTTTCTTAAATGTTGTTCTTTGTCAAAATATTAATTACCCGAGTATAATGTTTATTTAATGTTATTAAAGTTACTGCGGGTTATCTTCATCCCATGAGAGATTATACGTTTTTAAAATCATTGCACCACATGCTGTTGTGCTCTCTCATGCTTGGTGTTAGGCAAAATATCTGAGAACAGTGTGACCTGTCATGTAGACATCCAGCTCGCCTCCATATAGTGAGGCAGAAAGACTAAAAGCTACAAACAGGCTTTAACTGCCAAGCCTGTGAATAATGCAGCTGTGAAGCATTTACACCAAGGACAGACATGGCTGTTATAAAACAGCGAAACTGAAACAATTACCACCAGAAGAATCTATAACATTAACATCCCGGGGAAATTTACCCATGTGTCTGAAATATTCGAAATTTGATTAAATGAGAGGATTTTTCGAAGCCTGTTGGTGGTCAATGGGAGCTATATTTAAAGTTTAAAAACTTGTGAGAAAACTAGGCCATTGCAGCACATTAAAGAACACATTATGGAGATATGAAGAACAATTACAGCATGAGAATTGTTTCTGATGTTGTCAAAAACATGACGCAGGAGATAGGGGCCAAGGTCGTTGTGTGAATAATAACGACATGCATCAGCAACATTCACATTTCCTTAAAAAATAAAACCCTCTATAATATCTAACAAGGTTGAGGCTAAAGATAAAACAAAAAAGTAATTCAAGGTAAAGGGCAATTTTATAAACAGTAGCCATTAGATGGCCACATGGGTGATAGTCTTCACTTTATCAAAGTCTTTTTATATATTCATCTGTCTACAGTAAAATTATGATGCTTAAACGCAGGGTTAGTTTCCGAGCACTATGAAATCTATTAAATATGAAAAAGGAAACAGTCAATTAAAGTTATAAAAAATATTCCTTTGAAGAAAACTTATAAAACAGACAAAAGTTTGTGATTTAGCAGAAATCACAAGGGTGATGTTGGAAATGATTATCCATTTTGCGAGTTACTGGGGTTTATCTTCGTCTTTCCGATGGCGATAAGAGTTTATTGTACTTTCTCCTTTGGTAATAATGCCTTCCCCATATTTTACTTGATTCATGAACTGTAGGGCGGAGACAAAAGACCATTGGCATTGAAGTGATACACTGTTGATTCTCCTCTTTGGTCTATTGTTTAAGTCTGGTGTGAGCGCAGTGCAACCACATAGATGTCTTGTCTTGGATTCTTCCCCTGGCAACCTTTGGAGGACCGTTATAGTCAGAATGAGGAATACTACGAATATGTGAAACAAGAATAAAAACAATCGATGTGACTTTTAAAGATGACTACTACCAGCACAAGGTTATGCTTATAAATCTGCCGAGATTATCGACTGGGGGTCGTAGTTGCGCTCTCATCAACATTGGCCAAAACTTCGTTTTATTTGTGAAGTGAAAAAATATAGATATATATTAATGGAATAGACCTTATGTGAAAGAAAGACAAGTGACTGCCTTTTTCCACGGGGAGGAGGACTACAGGAAGGTTACCAAATCACAGCTTATCATACACCTTCCAACCTCCGAGCGCCCTCCACTCTCTGTTGTGCGCTTAGAGGTTCACAAAATGGAGAATAAAACAAACGGGAAGATGGGCACCAACAGTACTTCGGTCGCTGATTCCACCGAAACAAGCCTAAGTGACGTGATTGAAGCTGGATACAGTAGGTCGAATACAAAATTGCCGGCCGATTCACGGTTTCTAAATTGCATGTCCTCTGTGCGTAATTTTGGAAACGTTAACACACTGATCCAAGGTCTTAATTCAAGCCCTGACTGCGCAGTTTTTAAAGACTGTAACACAGTCGATCCTTCACTTGGACCAAAACATTTTTATGACCGTAACAGAGACTATCTTAAATGTGATGGTGTTCCGTGGGAGGATTTTGTTAAACTTCAGAGGACAAACGTGGCCGCATCCGAAAGTTTACCAGGCGCAGGTCTCCCCTCTACCTCCGGGGCTTGCAAGTTCATCAAAGATGAAAAGGAGCCTTCTGTGATTATGGACATCCCCTGTCACAACTTTGATCCATCACTCGAGATTTCCGCTCTCGATACCTGTTCTGACACCGACAGGAAGCAGCACTTAGGGCTTAGCAAAGGTGAATCGACAAGCTTCGATCCCAACGCGCAAACAGCTGGGCAATTGTCGATATATAAGACTGATGTTCCTCGTTGGCAGATGCAAGCATCTCCAGGTGAGACCCAGTATTGGGGACAGTCGGCGGGGGTAAACGAGGACCCGTTCAGAACTAGTGGCTACAATGTGATGCAGAACCAGACCCAGACTCTTCCTCAGAGGAACCCAGCTCCTTTCTCCACATTCCCCGGGTAACTACTACTCAGCGTGATAACTGCCGACAGAATCTTAATCATATTAATCATAACAGTGTCGCAAAACTTTTAACACAGTTTGGATAGGTGTGAATGTTGGCACGTGTAACTCGAGGATCAAAGAGTAGCCTAATTAATTACACAACTGTCAACACATACTTTATCATTTTACAACGACTAACGGTTTTCTAGGTATTTCTGAATGTAACAAAAAATATTTTATCTAATGCGGAGTCCACAGCGCTCAGTAGTCTTTGTCTGAATATTTTTTCTCTTCACATATATTTACTTTCCCCCCCAGTATGCCACCCCAGAGACTGTGTATGATCTGTAGTGATGAGGCATCTGGCTGCCACTATGGAGTCTTAACGTGTGGGAGCTGTAAAGTATTTTTTAAAAGAGCGGTTGAAGGTGAGCAAAGAAAATCTTTAACAAATGTCAAAATAACCACAGTGTGTGTGTGTGTGTGTGTGTCTGTGTGTGGTTCGTGTGTGTGTGTGTGTTGTGTGTGTGTGTGATTTCAATATATATATATATATATATATATATATATATATATATATATATATATATTATATATATATATATATATATATATATAGTCTGCTTCACTAGCTACTCCTTACTGTCTTTTTCTTTCTTTTGATTCTGTCCTCATGTCCCTCATTTAAAATGCTGCACAATGTACTACTAACGTAATACTACGATATTTAAACAAATGAAAAATCTCTCTTAGTGCTTAGACATGTATTTTCTATGTTAATCTTTATAAATTTTTCCTAAAACCAAGTTAAAAGAATAATAATGACCTTTTGTGGTAGTTGTTAAAGGTTATTAGCAACAGTATCACAGTTACTAGTGTACATCCTGTTCTTCCACTTGGAGTTTTTTTTTCTCCTGTTATCTTTCAATGTGAGATATATTAGAGCCACTATGTCTCACCGTGGCCATGTCACTCTGTCCTCACAGCCTTGCCTCTATCTAATTTTCTGCCAGAGTGCTGCCTCAGCGTGGAGTAGAGTATTCATGCTAATAGTCAAGAACTCTTCAACACATTCTCTTCTTATTAAAGACCTCTCCCGTTTCCTACATATTTGGAATGGAGAACTGCTAAAAATGTTTTGCATTGTCTGTACCTATTCATTCAACAGGCCATCACAGCTATCTCTGTGCTGGGCGGAATGACTGCATTGTGGACAAAATTCGGAGAAAAAATTGCCCTGCGTGTCGCCTTCGAAAGTGCTATCAAGCAGGAATGATGCTTGGAGGTATCATTTGGTTTTATTTATCATGTAGTCCCAAGAAACCATGATTAAAACCAAAGAGAATATTCTGCATGTTTAGATTAATAAAAAGAAAATCATGACTCAAAAAAACAACAAAAAACCCCTCAGGATATTTTACTCTTTCAAATGTCTTATTGGCACGAATTTAGTGGTTTCCCATCAGATCAAACCAGAACTTGTGTTCACGTCACAGGGAGGAAACTGAAGCGCTTTGGGGCCTTGAAAGACACAGGTTTGACCCCATCCCTGATGTTCCGGTCCCACATGACCATGCCCGGTGACAGCCAAGCCTTGACTCCCATGTCTTACATACCAGGCATTCATGAGCTACAAGTCTCCCAACAAATGCTCAACATCCTTGAAAACATCGAACCAGAGGTGGTGTACTCTGGTCATGACAGCTCCCAGGCTGATGCTCCCCATCTTCTGCTCACCAGTCTCAACAGGCTGTGTGAGAAACAGCTGATGTGGATTGTGAAGTGGTCAAAATCTCTCCCAGGTAACAGCTTTCTGCATCTCAGGGCCATCACAGTTGTTGTCATGGGGATCTAGTGGCGGGCCTTGTTGGAAGTCTAAAGTCCTAAACGCCAAGATAGAAGACTTTGTAATGCCTTGAATATTGTCACCGAGTCAAGTGTTTGACAGGAAATTTTAATATAGTTTAACATGACTGTAAACACCTACTGAGACAAAAATGTTACTGTTACTGGAAAACCATATATATACGAGAAGAAATGTTATGAATGAAATGTTCTTCTTTTTCTTTTTTTAGGTTTTCGTAATCTACACATCAATGATCAGATGACACTCATCCAGTACTCATGGATGAACATGATGGTGTTCTCTCTTGGGTGGCGCTCCTTTCAGAATGTCACCGGTGAACATTTGTACTTTGCACCTGATCTGGTTCTTAGCCAGTAAGTAACCACAGTCACCGGCAATTGAAGATGGCTTTCGGTTGGTGATGATTCATGAACTCTTTTATACATAAGTTAGTGATTTCAGTAGAGAAAGAGTCTACTGGTTATCCAGAGACGTAAACCATTTTGTGCTTTTGTCCATTAGG